TCTCTTTTTACTTTATGTAAATGAATTACCAACTGTAGGAAACTCATCCGTTCTACTATTCGCTGATGACATAAAAATTTGGAGACCCATACACAATATGTCGGATAGAATAGTATTACAGAATGATCTTAGCTCATTGGTGGCATGGTTAGACAGGTGGTCACTTGAAGTAAATCTTAATAAGAGTGTGGTGATGCAACTAAATAACAATGATGGATCGTATCACTATACAATACGTGGATTCGTACTACCCAAAGTAAGAAACTATAAAGATTTGGGAGTCATATTAAGTAGTGATCTCAAAACCACTAGTCACTGTAAGGCTGTTGCTGCGAAAGGCTATAGGGTATTATGGTCTATTCGTAGGTCTTTATAGTATTTAGATGATGAAATGTTTAGATTACTATACCCGATTTATGTGCGACCACATTTAGAATATGGAATTCAAGCAGCAAGTCCTTGTTTCAAGTGTGAAGCAGATATGCTAGAGCGAGTCCAACGACGAGGTACTAAGATGGCACAAGGTCTCTCTGGACTATCTTATGAAGACAGATTGAGACACCTCAACTTATTTCCGTTATCTTACCATCGAATACGGGGTGATCTAATATTGGCTTATCGTATACTGAACGATGACCTTGGTATTAACATGTCCTATCTTTTACTTCCGTCTAGGACTGATCGTTTGAGAGGACACTCGAAAAAATTCAAAAACCGAGATCAAATCGTTTACGTCTGGAGTTTCGTTTCTCTCATCGAGTAGTGAATTATTGGAATTCTCTACCGGAACACGTAATATCAGCACCTTCTGTTGATATATTCAAGACGAGATTGGACCTCCGCAGTATTACAAACTGCAAGGATTAATACAGGTCGTTAGACCTCCTATCCTTATTACTGACGACTGAAGACTAAATGAACATTAGTACATGACCTTGAGCTGACTGAAAGCGGCTGCTTGTGCCTTGTCGCTACGGTAAAGTTATCCTACAATCACATGTTTGTTTGTCGTTTTCATCTTAAACTCAAAGAAGGGATTGTTTTATATGTTGTGAAGAGTGCTTTCTGTTAAGAGACAACTAAATGTGGGTGTTATACGGTCCTTACTGACAATATAACTCTGTTGATACGGCAGTTTATGAATTCTAAACGTAGAATCTACAGTTATGCTGTCTAAACTAACCAGTTGTTGTATGACGTGCACAACAGGAGGCATGCAGATGTGATCTTTCGACGACTCTTGGTTAGAACCCTATGGCTGGGAGTGTGTCGAAGACTTACAGAATTATTTATTTATGGTGTTTATTTACCTCTAAGATCACTGCCCTCTCCTGGGGTGTGGTGGGAACGCCTATTGCTTGTAAGACGGCTCATGTAGTAGTTTAAATCCCCATTCTCTGTTCAAGATGGACATACAGATTCTTTGTGAGTCGGAGTGTCGCATTACAATTGAGTTCGGCTACAATGCATCCAGTGTCTAAAGATGAGGGTAAGACTATAACTTGTGAACAAGTCAATCAAATTCAAGATAGCATATCTTGTATGTTGGCATGGAACACATTTATTTATTTGGTTAAGTACCATCATTAGTGGAGGATGACTTTGGTAAGGCTCAAGTGTTCTCAAAATACTTTAGCAATGTATATAACCATAGAAGCACCCTTCCCGTCAGCGCATACAATTCTCCCCCCCCCACACACACACTAAATAGTGTGAAAATTAAGGAACTCGGTGTCTTTGGCCTGCTTAATAAGCTTGACATAAGTAAATCCACGGGGCCCGATGAATTGCACCCTAGGTTACTAAAGGAATTATCTTCCATAAATATCAACATTTCAGAATAGGTTATTCTTGTCTCACTAATTTATTAGTCGCTCGTGAAAGCTGTTGCACTCTTAAGGACCAAAGTTTACCTGTAGATGTAGCCTACATTGATTTCAGCAAAGCTTTTGACAAAGTTCCGCACAACCGGCTTTTATATATAAGCTAAGGAATGTCGGAATTGGAGGCCATCTATTGATGTAGATAAAAGACTTCCTAGTTGGGCGCCAACAAAGAGTACGGGTAAACTCAAAGTTATCTAGCTGGGAAACTGCTTAGTGGAGTGCCCCAGGGTACAGTTTTGGGGCCAGTGCTATTCCTCTTGTATGTAAATGACCTTCCTCGCCTAATATCATCACCAGTCTTGCTATATGCTGACGATGTCAAGATATGGAGAGCGATATGAAGTAAAGGTGATAGCTTGGAACTTCAAAATCACCTGAAGAAATTATCTGAATGGTCTCAAACCTGGCAGCTGCCAATAAATGCTTCCAATTGTATTGTGATGCATATCAGTCATCAAGGTACAGATACATACATGATGAATAACACTGAGCTACCTGTTGTCCGGACACATAATGACTTAGGAGTCATCGTTAGCCAAGATCTAAAGACTACTGCACACTGCCGTGCAATAGCCACCAAAGCTTTTAAAACTTTATGGTCAATACGTAGGACTTTTACTTATGTCGACGCTAAAAGGTTTTTGACTTTGTATGGTGTTCGTACGTCCTAAACTTAAGTACTACATACAAGCAGCTAGCCCCTGCTTAAAAAAGACAGTGAGCTTTTGGAAAAGGTCCAGAGAACAGCAACTAAGCTAATTCCCGGAATAGCGAAGCTTCCGTATGATTCTCGACTGGCCAAGCTAAACCTATTCCCTTTGTCATATCGTAGAAGTAGAGGCGACTTGATTACAGTTTTCAAATAGCTTAGTGATAAATTTGCACCTGATATGCCCTCATTTTTCTTGTCTTTCAAAACAGAGAATTTACGAGGGCACTCCAAAAAGGTTCACAAGTCCAGAACAAATTACTTGTCTGCTGATTATCGACTTTCCCACCGAATCATCAACGAGTGGAATTCATTACCTCAACACGTGGTTAAAGCTCCATCCGTAGATTCTTTCAAAAGAAAGTTGGATCAAATGAGAAAACACCATTGCCAGGACTAACACAGGCCATCAAGCCTCCTGTCCTTTCCAAACCTAAACTAAAACTAGAACTATAACTGATGTCACTTCGTGATGAAAACATTAAATTTAATTTGGCGAGACTATACTTTATGGACGATCTTTGAGTGACGCTAAAGTGACCTTGAAAGTCTTCACATAATAACTAGGACCAAATGAGGGTTATAAACCAGTGTGAGGAATTAGAATTATGATTTACAGTTGATGGTTAGAGTTAGGAGTTAGATTTAGGGTTTTCATCAGGAACTGATATCAGCTTCAATGCCAAGACTCTACTTAGCCAAATGGGTGAATGAATTTTGCGCCAAAATCCGATACCTGTTACCTTATACCTGATTAGTTCGTCCATAAATTATAGTCTCGCCCTCTAGTGAGTAGATGAACATTTCAAGGTCATTTTGGCGTCGCTCAAAGGTCGCCTATAAATTAGTCTCACTAAAACACTGTATAACAATACATGGCTATAAATTCCTTGCCAAATGTGCTGTACATTGATAGAGTGCCTTGTAAACCCACCCAGAATAGCGTCAAAAATCACAGTTTTTTCACTCACTTGTAAAACTGCTGATTGTTGAGCCAAATATATCTACGGCTATGCTAATGGGTGCTTAGATGTTAGGGTGTTGATGAATCGACAACGTCTTTAGAGGTCTTGACGTTGCTCGTTGAAAACTGATATTAAATCCGTTGCAGCCGAATCCGTTTATAGTGCGGCACTCCGACTTACAGGGAATCCGTATGTCCATCTTCGACAACGAATGTGGATCTGAACTACTACATGAGCCGTCTTAAATACACTATGTATTAGTCACTACGTTAGTCTTGACGATGTTTCAACAAACTGTCCTACGTTTGTTGGTTTGTCTGACGTAGAAGTGGTCCAGTCTGCGAATGATTTAACTGGTGCTCGGTAACATTTTACTGACCCTTTAAACTTTTCACAGTTTTTAAATCCCATTTTGTCTGACTGAATATCCTAAGAAAGTTTTTCTAGTCTTAGACATGAGTTCTCAAAGAACAAAGTTGTTTATTCAGTGAAACTGTATTATTCACCTGGACAAACTTGAAATCTTAACTCGTTTAACAAACTAGGAGTCACAGAGGATAAACACGTGATTTCTTGTGCTGACTTTGAATAGAAATACAAATTTTAAATAATCATCACTCGATTGTGTTATTATTACTAGTAATGATGATAATAGCTGCCGGAAAAATGTTTGCGTTTAAAATGCTCAGTATTTATTTTATTTATTATTTATTTTAACACATAAGTATAGGTACAGGGAGGCACCAAATACATATGCGCCACACAAATCTCAATTGATTTGTGTGAGGGCTGTGATACTGCCCGGGTGCCCAAACCGAAGCAGGTGGTTTTCTTAGGGGGCCACACCCCGAGCCTTTGACCTGAACGTCTGACCCACAAGGCAGTGGAGCATCGTAAGGAGATGCAGTCCCATGGTAGCCGGTGACCAACGATTGGTTCATACGCCATTTGTTCCCGCAGGATACTGGAGCCCATGTGCACCATTGGTTTGGGGTCCGGTTAAAGCGCCAGACATTCGCTTTTCGTCCTCTCATTTTTGTATACAACACTCCCGCCACGAGATGGCAGTGAGTAGGACTTCCCTGGCAGAGGCTATATACGCATGGCCATGTGAGAGCATTTCGAGAGGGAGAGCGGACTCTCCCCACTCTCGGCCGTACCAGGGCATTTGGGGGCAAAATGCTCAGTTTAGACCTTTAATCCACACATAAAGAACCTGTAGTAACTGGTTTGTTTTAAGAATCCAGCCATGATAAACTTTATTATTGAAATGATATGTGCATAAAGTGTACTGCTCAGAGAATTTTGTTAAATAGGTAAACAAATAACACAGTATGTTCGAAATATTTTCGTACACCAACTGGGGATTTTTCATTTATTAATTATCTCGCATCTGTTTAACGATTTGGCTAATGGCATTTTTTTATTGTGAACTTTCAGATGGAGTCTTTGCTTGATTTAATTCAATCTCTTGAGTGAGTCGTTTGGTTTGTGCATAAATATATAACCCCAAAATACGTTCTTCAGCATTGGTACTTTTCTAAAAGGCTTTCATAGCTTTCTGTCGGTTACACTTGTTTCTAGGTTGTTTTTCCTCCCATCGACACTTCGCTTTTGTTTGTATTCATCTTATTTTCGACATATTTTCTAATAATAAATAATGGTGGTTGACCCAGTAGCTCATTAAAAAACAACAGTTCAAATACTTATCATTTACCAACACACTCTTACTCGATAGAGCGGTGGCCTAATGGTTAAAACGGTCCACTTTCAACCTATGTGTCTAAAGCAAATTATGCCTTACCTGCTCAATTTCAAACAGACAGGGGGTATCACCAATCTTCATTTTTGAGGTTTGACTTACACCCAAGTAAATAAACCTATTTTCAGCTATTAAGCTACCACGATAAATACCTGAACCTTAATAGTTCGTTCACTTGCACATTTTTCGACTATTAAAACATCCAAGTTACTTCAACCTAGTGCAAGGATTGTTAATTTTGATATACTGGGAAAAACCAAGTGGATTGCTCATGTATCACCACTTACCAATAATTATCAGGTTTGTAGATCTATCGGCAAACCAGATGATGGACAACTGATAGTTAGGAGGTTTACCATTATAAAAAATGTGTATGTAATTCTATGTGAAGACATATAACTTCAATGTTGCTTTCAACACTTAAAGACAAGTCAACTGGCTTTCTATTATTTGTCAGGTGGCCAATATCTAACCATCGAAGACTTCACCAATAGTCATTGACTAATTTTAGGCGTCGTTGAGTGAATTATTGTGAGCCCTAAACTAAATATCCCATAATCTTATTCCACGATACTTCAAACACTAATACGAGTTGCAGAATATCTCATGCAACCATTAAATTGATCGAATAATATTGGAAATTGAAGAATGACGAACTAATTGCCATTTTTCGGCAAAGTGATTAATCGGACAGCATGACTAAGTTTTTCAATTCCGATTTCATTGAGTTACTCGCCATTTTGTTTTGGAAGGAATACTACAAAAGTACACATAGCTGACCTCTTTATCATGTTAATGATAGAGTTCTTAGTTTTGCCCTTTGAAAACACCAAAATCACACCGCCTTGACATCTTGCCATTCAACAGTAACATGATGCCAGATACCAAACCTGACCGTGTGATGATGTATTACCACTTTTCTGGTGATAAGTAGTCTTTAGAAATAATCGTTTTTATATGGATGTATAAACGTTAAGACCTTGTTTTAACATGCATTTCGATTCCATTCATCTACAGGGATAGTTGGGGACATGAATTACGTTTGTTCAGCCGCCGTCTACCTCAACGCGCGATAATACATGGTGTAATAAATCTAGGGCTGGCGAAATCAAAACGTAGCCCCCAAGTGCCCTCGTACGGCCAACGGTAGGAATAGTCCACTCTCCCTCTCGAAATGCTCTCACATGGCCACGCGTATACAGCCACCGTTAGGGAACTCCTACTCACTACCTTCTCGTGGCGAGGGTGTTGTTTATGAAATTTAGAGAGCGAAAATCGAACGTCCAACACTTTAACCGGGTTGGTGGATATGGAGGATTCACTTGAAGGAGCTGGAAAACCGTGATTGCAAAGCAATGTCTCCAGGTTCATAAGGGAACAAATGGCGTATGAACCTATTGTTGGTGACAGACTACCATGGGACCGCATCTCTTAACGTTGGTCCACTGCACTGTGGATTAGACCTCTTAGTCGAATGCTCGGGGTGTGGCTCCCTAAGAAAACTATTTGCTTCGGTTTAGACACCCGGACAGTATTCCAGCCCTCACACAAGTCGAATGACGAAGTGCGGCGATTATATATTTGGTGCTGTTATGACCTTGATTTGTCTACCCACTTTTTGGTGCCTAGGATACTTGTCTAACCTAGATTAAGACCTTGATGCGATAGGCTGATTGGCTTAACCTTGAGACTTGTACGCGTGAGTTCGAGATGGGGTAGAGAGAAGAACACTATTCTTTCACCTGATTGGTGGGCAAGCACACGAATGAGAGAAGACAAGACAACTGGAGCACTACTCGATCTATTTTCCTGACCACTGAACTCACTGGATTCACTGAATTCAGATTAGTGTAAAAAGGTACATGAATAAATAAGTGAATAACCCGACCGCAACATACAATAATTAGGAAAAATACAATTATGTCCAAAGCTGGGAATTAGAGTAGAAAATAGGGTGCAAAATAATATGTTTAAATTACAATAGCTTCGGAACAGAAAAAGGTATGGCAGTAAATGATACATCGAACGAAAGCTTATGTTCTGTAGAATCGATTAGGGACAAAAATAAATGAGTGTTTTACAAGCTTTGAATAAACTGAAATAACGTCCCGAAAAATAGCCTTCGTAGTTTGTCAGGGCTTCTTGTTTCCCGGTTCACATCAGGTGCCTCCTTGTGTATACATATAAAATACAGCGTAGCATCAGCCCTTAAAAATATAGACTATTGAACTGGGGCATGTTAGTCAGTCAGTAAAAACGTAGAACGTGTTACGTACGTATATCAGTTGAAGTTGCCATACCGTATTAGCACAGAGATACAATTCTCGATTCAAATCCCCTAGTTGTATTGGTAGTAAAAGTATAAGCAGTAATCGCAAAGATTAGGGTTTGAAGATGCTATTCAAGGAGTATAATCCAGTGAAATAAACTTGGAAAGAGATAAAAGGGACATGAAGAATTCAGAAGATTAGAATCTGGGAGAATATAAAGAGTGGATTCACCTGCGCCATCGCAAAAGATTTTGAGCCATGTCATTCAAGGTCTTCAACCATCGGTTCCTAACAACTGCATTACTTACTCGGTGGTCGCAGTATATACGAGCACTGCTTCGGTGACATCTATAATCGAATACTAATAACCTTCGAATATCCTATACTCTTACCGGCCATGTTTCACAGCCATAAAGTAGGACGCAACGAACTGCTTCGCATGTTAGTAGGGGCAGAATACTGGTTAAAGTCCACGCGATTATCTTAACAAGCGGTTAGAGACTTTGGATAGCCTAACTCAGAATCATTCACAATGACACAGGTACATACACTCTTAATATTCCCTTAGATCATAGGCTTAGTAATTACTTTAGAAATGTTTTATTACACGAATTCATATTTTCTCGAACTATACCTATGCCTAATTTTTTCTACTACCACTAATACTGTTACTGTTTATACTGCTATGGCATCTCGCTGTGCTGATGTAATATAGCAAATTAAACCGACACGAAAATATACCAGCTGTTACGTCACACGACTGACTGAAACCGATTATTTCAGCTTAAATTTTATCCCCCTTTCAAACTTGTTTCTCGGAAGTCATGGATAAAGTTTAAAGCAAAGTTGCATCCACTGACAAAGCCTTGTGTTAACATATCTGAACCCTGGATATGTACATACAGTATAAAAAAGCGTATAAAATACCTGATTTCGTAATTGTTTTCATCTCTACTCTCATTAATTAAACTTGTATCTACACTTCTCATTTACCGTTTAGGTGTCCATCGGTTTTATTCCTCCTAGTTTAGTATCTTTCTCAATCTCTTTAGCCTCATCAGTTCTCCCAAGCATTATTTAGTATTTCCGTATGTAATGAATAAAAACCTAGTTCAGTTACTCTTCATATCTAAAACGCAAACTTGATACATTATAAGCGGAAAAATAAACCTGCCATACATAGCTTTAACATAGCAATGAAAATAGCTTAGCTATGTAAAACTATCCAACCCACTGGTCTGCGGTTTTCATCTAGTGGGTCTCAACTTCGAACTTCACATAACTTAATTTTAAACTGTCGGGTATAATATCCAATGGTTATATGGTAAACAAAGCTTGCAGCCTATGCTGTTGGATGACTATAGCACGTTTCTCTCCGCGTACTTACACTAGCTCAAATTTTCCCGCTTCAATGCGTATATATTTGTTGACTATTTCACACAATTCTCTACCGAGTGAGTGATAATAAATTCTCCCAGACTTTACAGGGCAATTTTATCATGGTTTTATGGATTATTCCTCTGTATTCATTTTCTTAGTTCACATTAGAAACAGATTTCTCACTCCTACTTTTTTAACGTAGGTCAGGATTAACGGACACGAAAATTACATCACAAAAAGATTCCATAGAAACTCTCATTACGGGTATAAAATGTATTCCACTTTCGAATATCACATCCAAAGAGAGTAAGTATAATTATCTGTTTCTAACATTTATAAGTGTGTTTTGATTAAAAGAATAATTATGCAAATGCGAACCATAACGTTATATTGTGTAATATTTATGTAATTTAACCACTATTTTTGAGTAACTGTTGCTTTACCATACAGCTTCCTTGTACTCACTTTATGGGTTTTGAAAAGCTAACCACATTTTTTTTACAGTTTGATGTAATTTTTATTTGTTTTGGCCATATTATACTGATCATCTCATTGCCTGACCTTAACGTTAACTATTTACCGGTTTTACTACCCTAAATATAAGTTTGTACATTTTTACTTCATAAATAAACAAAGATATGGTCATGTTTTACTTAGCCGAAATTGATATGCTGTTTATAAAAATGGCAATCAACCAAAGATACAAATGATTATTGAGTTGCCATTTTACAAGATGGCCAGATTTTGAAATTATTAGTAGGCCAATAGATTTCAAGCAATTTTGTTCTACCTGACCAACTTATTTAAAATATAGTTAGCTTTAATCGCAGCGTGGTATCTTTTGCAGAATCACTGAGAACTAGGCAGGATTCATCAATTTCTTCGTCCCAGGTTTTTAACTCCTCCATAGCTTTAACTTAAGACTCCGCTAAGGATCGAACTCATTGCCCTCAGATTTTATGACGAATAGAATACATTCCAATTATGATATAATTTCCTAACAAATTGTCTCAATTTATTTTATAGATAAACAGTTTGACTTCTCAGTCATCTTATTTTCTAAAATTGACCCTATACTATTCGTATCTATCTTAACCAATACCTTTATCATAATATAAACTTCATACAGTTATCTTAAGATTTATTGAAGAAATAATTGTTTCACTCATTATACATGTTGTTATTGTTGATGTAATGTAATCATTCTCACCTACTTTTTTCGCTATCTTATTTAGTCGATCACCTTATTGATTTTCTATCGGGTCGTTTAGCACTTGCTGATCCAAATATTACAAATTTAATTCTTGATGGATTTATATGGTTGACAAAATCTACATGGTCTAATGGTTGTAGCATGGTCAATCCAGAACAAGCTAAACAGATTGTTCAGGATGGAATATTTGGTCATTTAACAATACAGAATTTAATCAAATCTGGAAGGCTGAAAGTTTTTCAGCTACTACATTGCTTTTTAACTGGATCTCAGCTAAGTGGTAGGTTCTATTTTAAAAGAACTATCACTTGTATGCTATAATTGCATTTTTATTCTGTATTTCGATTAGAAACTTCACTTTTTAATCATTTACTCTGAAACTAACATATTAATGTATGCTCATAATTTAACACACTTACCTTTTTCGGGATTATAGAATTTCGTCAATTTTTATGTGATGAACGTTATGGAAGGATTATTATAATTAATGGCAGTCTCTATTTTCATACTGCCTAGCATCAACACAAACCTGGGAACAGTTTAAGTTATTGGAGGCCCATTAAAAAAACTAATAGATTTTTTAAAGCATTCAACGTTTACCCATCAAGTTGCTGATTAAAACTCTACTTCACCTAATTTAGTCTGGCCCTAGCAGGGTAGTTTCACGAACTCTTGCACCCAAAGTGTAGTTTGAAACTCCCGCTAGATATATATTAAAAGTTTTTAATGAGTGTCCGATACGTATCGCAAAGTCCAATAAAGCCAAGGTGTTCATAAATTTTATAAATTAATATATGGAAACGAATCACTACTTGAAGACATACTAGAAAGCATTATAACATGTTAGAGTTCGACTGAGTGGAAGTACATTAGGATAATATGCTTTGAATCAGAGAGCTCTGATCAAAGCCTGAATTAATGAATCGATGAAGAATTCTGCCTAAAGATCCTACGTTGCAGAAGAACTTCCTAAACATTTGAAATAGCAACTGTTACAACATAATTCTAGTAGAATACTCGTTCATTTGGTCCAAAGTCTGAAAAACTGGACTTCAAAAACAAAATTCCCATCAAATCTAAGTCAATATGTCTATAAATTGTTAAGTGTTGATCTTAATGTGAAATATTATCTCTTGATCCTAAATTTTTGGATAATCATCATTGTACTACCTAAGATAGATATACAAGTTCAGTCCAGGAAAGAGGTCTAACACTTTTTAACGACCAAGTTTCAGAAGGATTTAAGTTTGTTTTAATAGACTGTTACTACAAAGTTACAAAAGACAACACTATCAGTCAACTTACAGAATGTATATTATACTACTAAGATTATTACGGATATACCCTAATATTTAACCAAACTAGTATGACTTATCAGATGACTTATGCTTAAAATCAATACTGAAGGTGGGATTTATTGGGTAACCAGTACCATTCCACTTATTCTTGTCACTTCAGTAACGCAAACATTACATTGTACGTAATCAAATTCATTAACTTTAATTTCTATCACTTGTATTTACACGAATCATCACTTTTCTGTTCGTTTACAAACACTCTCTCTCTATTTGTGTGTATGTGTAGGTATTCAGTCGATGGAATCTAATTTTATTCAGAAGTATTTAATAGCTATTGATGAAGAAAAAGATCCACAAATATTACATCTGATTTTTCATATGAATGTAATCATTATTAGAGAGTTTCCTTCAGGTAAACAATCAATTCACTACATTAAACAGCGATTTATTTTGTAAGGTTATATTCATTCTTTTTTTCTTTTTCATTTGAGTAAAAGTCTAACGGGAAGTGGCTCCTCAAGCAAACCACCTGCCTCGGTTTGGGCACCTGGACAGTATTCCAGCCTCTACACAAATCAAATGATTTATGTGGCGCATATATATTTGGTGCATTTTTGTACCAATGTGTATGTGTTTAAATGAATAAACTAGCTTCATTCATGTTTGGATTGGTACTCTGTCTGATTTTCTCGAATTTGCTATTCTTTTACATTAATCAAGTGTTAGCGGAATATAGATAGGATTAAAGCACGTTCCGTTTAGGATTCTTTTGTGTGTTACAATAGGATTTCCAACCGCTTCTTACAAGTAGTTGTAATGAAGAACTTTCTATAGTTCTGATTACTGCTCAATCCATAAAGTAGATAGTTTGCTGAAATCTATTCCATGAGAAAAACGAAGTCATTTTTTATTTACAAAAATATGGTATAATGAAATAGAATCTCATTATAATAGAGAAACATTTGTTTGATTTGTGTATATTTGTGACTATTCACTTCAATATATATGACTAGTCTGACCAGGTAATAATTACTCTTATAATTTGAATTTATTGATATAAGACTTAAACAAACAGATATTAAAAGATCTAGTCACAGCTTCAAATTTTGCTTCACCTACTACTGCGTTGGAAAAGTGGATAGTATTACTTACCCTTACACTTAGTGGAATGTAGCTTCAAGGTAAGTATCACTGGTCATAAAAATAGTAGACGTATATGCAAAACACCATAAAATAAACAGACGTACAATCTCTCTCTCTCTCTCTCTCTATCTATCTATCTATCTATCTATCTATCTATCTATCTATCTATCTATCTATCTATCTATCTATCTATCTATCTATCTATCTATCTATCTATCTATCTATCTATCTATCTATCTATCTATCTATCTATCTATCTATCTATCTATCTATCTATCTATCTATCTATCTATCTATCTATCTATCTATCTATCTATCTATCTATCTATCTATCTATCTATCTATCTATCTATCTATCTATCTATCTATCTATCTATTCTATCTATCTATCTATCTATCTATCTATCTATCTATCTATCTATCTATCTATCTATCTATCTATCTATCTATCTATCTATCTATCTATCTATCTATCTATCTAATCTATCTATCTATCTATCTATCTATCTATCTATCTATCTATCTATCTATCTATCTATCTATCTATCTATCTATCTATCTATCTATCTATCTATCTATCTATCTATCTATCTATCTATCTATCTATCTATCTATCTATCTATCTATCTATCTATCTATCTATCTATCTATCTATCTATCTATCTATCTATCTATCTATCTATCTATCTATCTATCTATCTATCTATCTATCTATCTATCTATCTATCTATCTATCTATCTATCTATCTATCTATCTATCTATCTATCTATCTATCTATCTATCTATCTATCTATCTATCTATCTATCTATATATATATATATATATATATATATATATATATATATATATATATATATATATATATATATATATATATATATATATATATATATATATATATATATATATAATTGTTATGGTTTTTAATTTTGTTTTTTATATATTTCTATCAGTAATCGAGTTCAAGGATGAATTATTTGAAACAATATCAGTTTATTTTCCTATCGACTTTTCACCAGTACGTTTTATTTCTGTATTATGATATAATATAATATAAATAATGGAATTAGTATATTGTGTATCATTGATTTGCATTAACTTTTTTCGACGATGTCGAGATGGCTAGTTTTTTCTTACTCACCTTCTTATAACATATAAGAAGGTGCGATGTTTTATGGTGTAGGGATAGGTTGGAAGAAAGCTAGGGGCGACCAGACCAAAACATGGCACAAATCCATGAAGTCACTGACAAGTGGACTGAGCCATGTTGGTAGATGTAGACTACCTGGTTGGGGACCGCGAGATGATAGCAACCGATGGTTAGAGACCTTGAATGACATGGCTCAAAATCGTTTGCAATGGCGCAGGTGCATCCATTCTTTGTGTTCTCTCCAACTCTAATCTTCTGAATTCTTCATGTCCTTTACTTTCTTTCCAAATCTATTTCACTAGACTATACTCCTTAAATAACATCATCAAACCTTAATGTTCCCTGTCACTACTTATACTTTCACTACCTCTACCACTATGGGATTTGAATCAATAACTGAATCCCTGTGCTAATGTGGTATGGCAACTCGAACTGATGTACGTACGTACGAAGTTCCACGTTGTTACTGACTGACTGACTGACTCTTATAACATATTGACTGCTAAAAGTCATTAATTAGTTTGGTGAACATATGTTCAGTTTCATCTGTTGACCTAGTGAAGTGTGTAGAGGTATTAAGGAGACAAATCCAATGAGCTTGTTTTCAGGTGGCTGACAGTTATCGTTATTTACCCCTTAACCTACTTCTTATACTAGTGAACACCAGTCAGTGACGCGTACCTGTAGTATTAGTGCAACTGATCAATAAAATTAAATGAGTATTAAAGACTAAAGAGGTAAGACATTAATCATTTTTCAGTCACTTAATGTACAGTGAGTTGATATTGATGAGTAAGACAAGTTACTAAAAATTCAATAATATAGATAATAGTACAATTAGAATAATAAATGAACACCTTTCAATTATGATGCTCCATATTACGTAATTCGCTTAAAAACGTATTAATTCAATGCAAACCAAATGAACTAATAAACAAAACAAATAGAACATCCTATGAAAAATGATGATTAGATCAACAGCTCTTCTTAATTAGAATACATCTATTATTATTATTATTATTATTATTATTATTATTATTATTATTATTATTATTATCATTATTATTTATTAAACATTAAGCTTAATCAAATCAATGAATCTAGATAACACAAAAAGTACAATATGTATACATAATAAATATGTTAATTAATATATATTCAAAGAGTATATTCAGCATTGATCTTTTCTTGACTACATCTTATAATTGCTGTCTAAATACAATATGTCTTTCATCACTTAAATCCATACACCAAACAAGCATATCATTTCTTTTCTTTAACAAAAAGCTAAGACTACATTTATGAAATTATTTCATTCTGTATGAATGTAATAGAAAAAACTTCACAAACTTTTTAAAAGGAAAGTCTTAAGACGTTCATTACCTTTTAAACTGCAGCACAACTTTGTATTGAAAGTAATTTAGCTCGTAGTTTAGTTTGTTTTTCCTATTTGAATCTTCATTTCTAAAATGTTTTAGTTGTCTTGTCTCGTATATAAATGTTTTTGAGTTTGCTTGTATCACCTTGATTGTAACATTATAGTTTTGTTTTGATCAAAGTAAAGATAACCTTATTTCCCAGCTTCAGGGAATCGTATTCAAGTCTCAAGAAAAAATCCTGTTACTAATTTTTTAAACACGAGCATTCATCTTTTGGTGGTAGTACACTGCTCGACCTCACGACAATAAGTTCATACCGTAAAGTGTTCTGGTATTTTTCTTTTTATCAATGTGATTTCTTTCTTTATCCACTGAATCTGTATGAAATAAATTCATCAAAACGATCACTTTTAAGACCATTTTATTCTTAATGATTTGTTGAATGATTTTTGTCATTCGTTTGAGAACACTGTGATCATATTTGTACATCACAGTTATTCGTTTAATTCACTCTTTTTTATTTTGTTCAATAAATCTTTCGGAAAGTTGTCTGTGTTCACCATATCTATTATTCAAATAATTAGTTGTAATCAAAATAAAATTCCATTCGTAAGGGTTTACACTTTTCTGTTCTAGAAATTCTCGACTGCAAGTCTTAAATCCCTACTAATAATATTCATACGCTTTGTATAAGCTAATGATTATATGGAATCAGCTGTTCAATTGATAAACCATTGGTGTTTAAAATAATAGGTACTGGGTCCCAGTATTAGTTTGCACATCAACATAAAATTACAGACATGTCTTGCTGATTAGACCCATATGGAGTGAAACGTATGCCATGAATTCCATGGCTGCACTCTATCTAACTTTAATGAGCTTAATTTTTTTAAATGTTTTATATTATTACTTTTGCGATTATCGCAAGTCCAGATCTTTTCCAGAAAAGGTATATCAACTCTAAGTAACATGACCTCATTTTTCTAAATTGATTTCCTTTTTTTATCGGTTTGTATTCATTGCCATTTAAATTCAAGCCAAGTAAGTATATATTCTTGTCTATATAGCCTCCAGGTGGTGGCATCTCTGGAGTTACGCGTGATTTGCTAGCATCTAGCTTGCACCAATGTTTATTTTCTATGCGAAATATAACTGGTCATAATCTTATGCCACTTATTTGCGAAAAAATTGAATCACAATGGCCCAATGGTCAGTTGGATGCTTTATGCTTATTCAATGATTGTTTACATGGGCAACTTCAACGTTCAGATGGTGATAATGATATCAATCATGTCTTGTCTTCAGATAGGAATCCAATCGATATACGTCATATTTCTCCTTATCTTGGTGTAATTATTCCTACATTAATTCAAATTGTAAGTGGTTGTTTATGAATGGTAACTTTTTTCAAATTAGTTCTTCTACCATAAACTTCCTAAACTATGTTGCTAATGATCTACTAAATGTATGACGATCAGCATTTCTAACTAGTCAGATGAGGACATTAAGTTTCCACATAATCAGCTGATATTGCTTAGTACATAATTAGGGCTAGGTGTACAGACTGAACTCGACACAGACAATGATATTAGTTTGGTGGATAATTTGTTAACTCATTTTAACTCACTGATGCTTGCATCTATCGTATAACTTCTCTAGTTTGCTCTTCACATTAAATTTAGTCACTTGATGAAATTAAATGATAGTCTTGAGTTTGTTGGTTACATTCTTTAAACTTGATGAGTGATGGTGCATTTGGTTGTTCTCTGTATCAATTATTTCAGAACTATGCTTCATTTTTGTTCACATTATCTTTACTGGATTGTATACATTACCTCTAGATATGTTCAAATGTTTGGTTTAGTCAGATGCTTAACAGTCTAGCTATATAAATTACTCTGTCCTTTCGCTTTAATTAAAGACTAAATTTTGTTTATTAGTTAGTAAACTTGAATCAATGTTCACCATTCGGAGTAGGTGAAATTTTGTTCTCTGACCTGGATCTCAAATTCATATGAGCGTAGCACTCTTCTGGTTGTTCAAAAATGGCAGCATTTTGTCAAAAGCAAGCTTCCACTCGAAAACAACTCTATTTTCTCCATGAGTGTCTTTTTCAACATGTTCTTTCAACAAGTGTAAGATACAGACCTCCTACCAACTGCCCAATGTGATGGCGAAAGACTGAACCAAACGGAAGACATTTGTTACACCTAATGATAACTGATGCACACTACAAGATCCAAAAATACCAACATGTCATGGATGACCAGAAGAGAAAGCTAGAAAGGATGCTCACGTCAGAACATTTGGCCACCTTGACAACGAGACACCGAGCAGGCGACACAGAAAACAAAGGAAAAGCTAATCATCCTGTCAGACCAACCTCCGACAAACATAGAAGAACACATGTTCCGAGGAGGATTAAACTACGGTATAAGTGACGCCTCGAAACTAAGATTCCTTGCCGCAATAGTCATTACTCAAAACTACCGAAATAGATGAAGAAACTTAACAAGAGATAAGGTAAACCGTAGAACCGCCAACTTGACGGGAGAAAGATAACACCCAACTGACGTCAGAAGAACAAAAGCTCTTAAACAAGCTCATAACTATAGAAGATATTGTCATAGTTCCAGCGGACAAAGGACGCACCACAGTAATTATGGACAAGTTGAGTAACTACTTAAATTCTATTAAGTAGTATAATACAAATGTCAATTACCCAGCCTTAATTTCTTTTGATATTGTTTTTGTTTTTCATTTGTTTGAATCTTCCCATTGATGTTTAGGACTGAAATTGTTCAGTCTCTTATTGGCATATGTGCATACTGTGCGTATGCCTCGATATTGCCTTAATTTACAAGCATTATAAGCAAAGGTGGATGATAGTGGCTAGCAGTGGAATCCAGGACGCGCGTTTCGTCCTATTTGGGACTCGTCAGCTGGATGTACCTGCATCTCAGAGTTGATGTTCACTCCGGGACTCGAACCCAGTACCGTCCGCTTCAAACGCCATCGCGTTATCCACTTAGCTACTGAGTCCTGATAGCCACTATCATCCACCTTTGCTTATAATGCTTGTAAATTAAGGCAATATCGAGGCATACGCACAGTATGCACATATGCCAATAAGAGACTGAACAATTTCAGTCCTAAACATCAATGGGAAGATTCAAACAAATGAAAAACAAAAACAATATCAAGTGAATTAAACTTCACCCCATTGCACAAGCAAGTGGCTATCAGGACTCAGTAGCTAAGTGGATAACGCGATGGCGTTTGAAGCGGACGGTACTGGGTTCGAGTCCCGGAGTGAACATCAACTCTGAGATGCAGGTACATCCAGCTGACGAGTCCCAAATAGGACGAAACGCGCGTCCTGGATTCCACTGCTTGCCACTATCATCCACCTTAATTTCTTTTGTTCATCTTTCTATTATTGAATTTTTATACCACTGTTGTTATATCCTAGTGAAGAATGAGATCTATTAATGGAATAATATTACATATATTTCTATTGTATAACTGTTCAGTAACTAGATTGTGTATATTCATATTCCTCTTATTATATGCTTCATTTTGACCTATAATTTATTATTATACGTTTTACTGTTCTTAAATTATACTCATTTTATTAATTACTGTCTCCCACTTTTATAACCAATTTTGGCTTTATTTTGTATAAATGTTATTTCCTATTTTATGGTGCGATGCGGTCTGTTTGGCTGGTATATAAACCAAATATGTCTGAAATAAATGAATCGCATAGCGCAAGCTATTATTGGTGTTCTGAGCTCAAATGGACGGGCTAGGCAAGCTTACTTACTTACTTAATTACTTACTTACTCTTGGCACTCCCAATGGAGCATAGGTCTCCGACCAGGATTCTCCAACCCACTCTGTCCTGGGCTAGGAAATCAAAAGACCAATAAGTACTCTAGGTTGATCAGACCGGTCAAACGTCATTGGTTTAGTATAGTACAAGGGTGAATAAGTCGTATTTCGATCGGCAAATAAATTACATGATAACTTTCCGGAATTAAAGTCACAACAACTGTTTTAATTGTCGGTAAAAAATTAGCTGCTATTCTTCCGATTAACACTAAGTAGTAATGTTAAGCATACTTAGTAGTAGCTAATAGGTTGATCGAACGTTTATATATATATATATATATAGTTACTTAATAATTATACAATAAGAATATAATTTATAATAGTCCATAAATAAGTCCTGGAAGTTAGTACACCCTTAGTCTTTTTTTGGATATAACAAATACTAAAATTTATGACCATAACTTTCAAATATAATCTATAACTCAATGTACATGTCGAAAAATCTACTATTTGTCAAGAATTCAACCCAAACCAACCATTTAGAAATCTTTATTCTGAACATATAGGTTGCTCATGCAATTCAACATGGTATTCTGAAACTCATTCTCTGAATGGCTAACTCTCAAAACATATTGAAAAATCCTATAAACCCCACATTTTTTCACCATATCACCATTGGCTATAATTGTAATACAACTAGTTTTTTTATCTTTTCTACTGTAAAGACCTGGTCATGAAGCTTTCCCAAGTTAATAATAAAAAACAAAAAAATAATAGGTTTACTCAATATTAAGGTACAGTAAGTTTTACTTATACGACTCATATTTATACTGTCATCTTACAAGTGCCTCCGTATATTGTAGCGATGTATAATATAGTTAAACATTTGATAGATGAAACTAACAGAAACTATTAATATCATTCGATTAAAAGTGAATTACTCAAGTACAGATATACATATAGTTAATCTGATTTAGTCACAATCCATTCGTAACCATGGTTTCAATTACGTACTGTTTGAAAATCAGGTCGATAAATGTGTAGGCGTTAGTCATATTTTTTACTTCCTCTATTATTAGATATTACTCATGCGTTTTTTTATGACTCACCATCCGGTTTTAAATCACATTGTCTAGTCTTCACTGTCTTTGTGTATTCTGATAGCCATTGGGTGTTTTACAGACTACCCCAATATTGACATGTAGAAACATTTTTTTCAGCATTAAAAAGACAACCACTTTGTTGTTTATATACATATGCATTATTACATGTGGATTTCGTTCTAAACCATTAAATACGTAAATACTAATGTTTGACATTGTTATTTTTATAACTCATCTTCAATGAATGATCGTTATCCTCATTCACGTTGATAGTGTATCCCAATAACCCACTTTACCAACATTTACATTCTTTATAACTTTGTGTTACTTTTAATATTCTCATTATTTTCTTGACTTTAAACTTTTAATATTTTAGGCGGACAAATACGGAAAACGAAGGGATAACAGTGATTTGTATGCTCTTTCTTTGTCTTGTATCTCAGGTCTTGTCCATGCTTATTCTCTACAGGTTAGTAGTAAAATGTATCACATATCTATTTTGATTACTTAATTCTCAATCAGTAGTTGGATTCTTTTTAGTTCCGGTACTTTGAGCATCACAATTCTTTGAAATTATTAAATATGCCACTTTAATATTCATCATCATTCATTCTTTTCTCGACAATTTTTTTAGCTATATAGAGACCTAAACAATTATTCTAATTTATTTTATTATGGTTACCTAATTAGGTGGTATTGCTAATTATTAAGTTTCTAAATATTCTGAAAATAATTCTGAAATCTATCATATTTAAAGATGCTTGTTATTGGTAATTTATTGACGTACTTCTCATTTTCATGTGAATATATACATACATTTCTTCAACTAATTAGGTACACAATTCTAATTAAATACAATCAATGAATATTACCAGTGATAAGGTTCATGTTTTGATTAAAATTTAGTTTGCTTTATATATTTTGTTCCTTTGTTTATTTTGAATAGTGCAAAAAATTATAAGATTTACAAAATGAAATAATTTAGATCATATATGAAAGCTACTCTTTAGTCAAATACAAACTAATGTCCCAATAAATGATATAATTCGGCTTAAATAGGCCAAAAACTGTATAAACTAATCTCTGTAAATATATGAGATTGTCATTCATGTACTCACTTGATAATTAACTTCTAAATGAATTAAGAACGTTCTGGTTAACTTGTCATAACTATCATAGTGCAACTATTTCGAGAATAAAATAGTTACCAACAAACGCCATTTGATGATTTTCACTATGTCTCACTTTATTTGAAACTGGATAAATAAACCTTCTGGATTCCAGCTCTGTGATCTATCAAAGAATAATGCATTGACGGCAAAAAAGTTGTTACGTCCTATTCTCAGTTAACTTGCAAGTGATCACTGCTAAGAATTCCCATTATTAAGACAAAATAACTGTCCACTACCCTCTAGTTTCCAGTGGTCCCCTTAACTGATGCCAATCGGTTATTACTGCATAGTCCGTGCTAAAGCTGAAATCCATTATCTCATCTTAATATCTTGAGTGTATGTATAACTATTTTGACCCCTTAATAATACATTATTTGAATTGGTCAGTTGTTCTCTTTTTGTGGAATTTCTTTGTTTTAAATTTGGTTATTTTGTTCCCTTAGTAAATTATCAATTTAGTCAACTTAAGTACTCGTACTTTTCAACCATATTCCCTACGTTTATCTTTTTCACAACCCTAAACAATACTATTACTTAAAGTCCTAGGTTGTATGAATCTTGTTAATTTCACCTCTATTGATATGGTAGAGGACGTAATTTTAAGGGGCAGTGTTGTGACTATGTACCTGATGTTATACTGATTCTCACTAACTATTTATTGTTTTCTTTTTTTCTTCCTTGAATGTTATTTTAGACCAATGATAAATCTCAATTGGAAGATTTTACAGTAATCTTGTTGAGAAGTTTCGGACTTTCACCTAACCAACGTCAACTACCAATAATAAGCCCTCCTGGTGTTATTGATTATATTACTGAAAGTTTTAAATCAGCTCAGACTAATGCCTTGTTATTATCTATCTTATTCAACTACACGATTCCACATTTATGTGTTCCATTTTTTTCGAATTGTTATACAAATTCCAATGATCATCTTGGAATTGCTGAGGAAACTAAACTTAATATTGATGAAGTAAGTTTTTATTTGAGTGATAAATGTTATCGCTTTAATATAAAATACACAATTGTAATGTTTCTTTTGATGTTCAATCAGTCATGAGCCACGTAGAAATTGGCGTATATACACATCAGTTGCCACACTATCACATCAACACAACTATATGAAATGTTCAACGAAATTCATGAAGAGATTTTTAAGGATTTTATTCATATTATTATTCCAACTTTCTTCATTTCTATTGGTTGCTTCAACCTCTCTGTAGATGTTATGGGCTGCATTTGATCAATCTATTTTTGCATGTGTGTGAACATCAACGCTGTGCCGACGGTACATCCATCTGATGAGACATAACAGCCCTCCTGCTAGTCATTATCCAACTAAAATACTTACCATATCACTTAATAATCACATTTTGCTATTTATTACTAGTTTCAATAACAAATAGGATAGTCGACTAGTCATAATCAATGTAGAGCCTGGTACAAATGTACATTGAGCTAAGTCTTCATACCATATTATCGCGATAAGATGAATAGCAGAGAAGTCCAAATAATATAGTAGCAATCATAACAAGAAAGACTAAATATTAAGAAAATAGTTTGAAAAGTCAGAATGAAAAGGTATGTGTTTGCAAGAATATCGCAACTGAAGATCTAGAGGAAGTTAAATTGTGAATCCATCCATACCTTTGTAAATAATTCTGAGCCATTCCATCCAACACTTCCAACTATTGATCTCGTTTTTCGCTCACCTGACAATAAGGTAGTCTGGATAAACCAATATGTAGAATATTCGAATCTTATGAAGGGATTTTTTCATCCATCTAATTTGATTTCTGTTGAACATATAAATCTGTAGAGCAATATAAACAGGGGTTGTTCGGGAAAAAACTTTATATGGAGTATGATGGGTTATACAGCTAATGTCTGTGGTTTCCTTACAATCATAACTTTGAAGGTTAATCGATTTGTCAACTCATTTCCTTATCTAATTCATCATCAAAAATTAAAGTTGGTAAGAAAAGCTCGGTCTAATTTAATATGGATTCCTGGTTAGTATTATGAGTTGCGTCATAAAATGTGTGTCTCAAAGCTGAGTACATAAATCTATAACTGGTATGCGTTAAGTCCTGATATTTTGGGTTCACTACAGGTCTACCATACAGAATAGGGAACGAATGAGCTACTCTAATAAGACTGGTTCTATTATTAAAATCGATAAAAACAACTATCACACAACACTCCAACAGTTAGCTGCTAACTTACTTACTTACGCCTGTTACTCCTCGTGAAGGAGCATAGGCCGCTCACCAGCATTCTCCATCCAACCCTGTCCTGGGCAATCCTTTCAAGCTCTTTCCAGTTCTTATTCATCCTTTTCATATCTGCTTCTATTTCCCAACGTAATGTGTTCTTTGGCCTTCCTCTTTTCCGCTTCCCTTCAGGATTCCAAGTTAGCGCTTGTCTCGTAATGCAGTTTGATGATTTCCTCAATGTATGTCCTATCCATTTCCATCGTCTTTTCCTAATTTCCTCTTCAGCTGGAAGCTGGTTGGTTCTCTCCCACAAAAGGCTGTTGCTGATGGTATCCGGCCAATGGATGTTGAGTATCATGCGTAGACAGCTATTAATAAATACCTGTACCTTCTTGATGGTGGTTGTTGTAGTTCTCCAAGTTTCAGCTCCGTTCGTATTGAAGATTCTGACTTTGATATTGGTTGAAAGTTGTTTTGAGTTTCATATGTTCTTCAGTTGAAGGAATGCCGCTCTAGCTTTGCCAATCCTCGCCTTGACGTCTGCATCTGAACCTCCTTGTTTATCGACGATGCTTCCCAGGTATGTGAAGGATTCCACGTCTTCCACAGTTTCGCCATCAAGAGTGATTGGATTGCTGTTCTCCGTGTTGTGTTTGAGGACCTTGGTTTTCCCTTTGTGTATGTTGAGGCCTACTGATGCAGAGACTGCTGCTATGCTGGCTGTCTTTATCTGCATTTGTTCGTGTGTATGTGATAAGAGGGCTAGGTCATCTGCGAAGTCCAAGTCGTCTAATTGGTTCTGAGCTGTCCATCGTATGCCGTGGTTTCCCTCAGATGTAGAGGTCTTCATAATCCAGTCGACCACCAGAAGAAACAGGAAGGGAGAGAGTAGACAGCGTTGTTTTACTCCGGTTCTTACTTGGAATGCGTCAGTCAGCTGTCCTCCGTGCACTACTTTGCACTGTAGTCCATCGTATGAGTTCCGGATAATGTTGACAATCTTCTCAGGAACTCCGTAGTGTCGAAGAAGTTTCCATAACGTTCTCCTATCTACACTGTCAAATGCCTTCTCATAATCAATGAAGTTGATGTAGAGTGACGAGTTCCACTCAATTGATTGTTCGACGATGATCCGTAGTGTCGCAATCTGGTCTGTGCACGACCGGTCCTTACGGGATCCAGCTTGCTGATCTCGAAGTTGAGCGTCTACTGCGTCTTTCATCCTGTTCAGTAACACTCTGTTGAAGACTTTACCCGGTATTGACAGTAGTGTAATGCCTCTGTAGTTTTCACACTTGCTCAGATCTCCTTTCTTTGGAACCTTGATGAGGTGTCCTTCTTTCCAATCCATCGGCACTTGTTCCTCCTCTCAAATCTTCTTGATTAGAAGATGAAGCATGCTTGTAGTTACATCGATGTCTGACTTCAACGCTTCAGCTGGTATATTGTCAGATCCTGCTGCTTTCCCGCTCTTGATTTGTCTGATGGCCATCCTGTTTTCTTCGGTCGTTGGTGGATTGACATCTATAGGGAGATTGTGTGTGCTGCTTCGATGTCCGGTGGATTCATTGGCGCCGGCCTATTCAGGAGTTCCTCTAAGTACTCTACCCATCTGTTCCGCTGTTGTTAAGTCTCGGTGATTGGTCTTCCTTCTTTGTCTTTGACTGGTCTCTCTGGTTTACTATATTTCCCTGCTAGTTTCTTCGTTGTACCCTAAAGCTGTTTCATATTTCCTTCTCTTGCGGCTTTTTCCGCCGTCGTTGCTAGTTCTTCCACGTATTTTTGCTTGTCAGCTCTAATGCTCTTCTTCACTTTCTTGTTTGCTTCTATGTACTCAACTTGTGCTTGGACTTTCTCTGCTCGTGTTCGACTGTTGTTAATTGCTGTCTTCTTGTTCTTTCTTTCTTTGATCCTGTCCAGTGTTTCTGTAGAGATCCATTCCTTGTGATGATGCTTCTTGGGGCCCAGAACCTCTTGACACGTTGAAGTTAATGTTTCTTTGATACCTTTCCAGCTATCCTCCATAGTAGTTTCTTCTTCCTTCAGTAGATCCTGTAAGGCTTGGAACCTGTTGTTGAGAGCTACCTTGAATTCATTGAGTTTGTCAGTATCTCGAAGGAAGGCTGTATTGAACCTTTGTAGTGCTGTTTGTCCATTTGTCCAGTTCTTCTTTAGCTTCAGTTTTAAATTGGCCACAACCAGCTGGTGATCTGAAGCTTTGTCCGCTCCTCTCCTGGTTTTCACATCTTCCATTGTCCTTCGGAACATTTTATTGATGCAAATATGATCTATCTGATTCTCTGTGGTGTGGTCCGGTGAGATCCATGTAGCTTTGTGTATACGTTTGTGTGGAAATATTGTGCCACCTATGACCAATTTGTTGAATACACACAGATTCGCAAATCTTTTTCCGTTTTCGTTCCTCTCTCCCCGTCCATGTAGTCCCATGATGTCTTCATATCCGGTGTTGTCCATTCCGACTTTGGCGTTTAGATCTCCCATCAGAATGGTGAGGTCCTTTCTTGGGCACTTCTCTATGATTGATTGCAGCCTCTCATAGAATTGATCCTTAACGTCGTCGTTGCTATCATTGGTGGGTGCATAACATTGGATAATGTTCATTGTGATCCCCTCCTTCTTTGTTTTGAATGATGCTTTGATGATTCTGGATCCGTGAGATTCCCATCCTACAAGTGCATTTCGTGCTACTTTGGATAGCATTAGAGCAACTCCCTGAGTGTGTGGAGCATTTTCCTCTTCGTGACCGGAGTATAGTAGCATCTCTCCCGTATTTAGCCTTTGTTGTCCAGCTTGGGTCCAATTGGTTTCACTGATTCCCAGTACTGCCAAGTTGCATCTCCTCATTTCCGTTGCTATTTGACTGGTCTTCCCGTTCTCCCACATTGTCCGGACGTTCCATGTACCTACAAAAATTGTTGCTCTGGTTACTAGAAGGGTTTGAGTTATTTTTTCTGGTTAGTGTTTTTTTAGCGAGTTAGTTTTCTACGGGATAGGGACGCTAACCCCATGCCCAACCCTCCTCGTTTACCCGGGCTTGGGACCGGCAGTAACTCTGGAAGAGCTACAGGCGGAGGTGGGACTACTCAATAGTGCTCATTTATGACCCAGGCACAGGGAATTGAACCCAAAACCTTTTGCCTCATGCGCAAACACCTAACCTCTAAACCACTTAAAAATTGTAAACTATTGCAATTAGTTTAATCCATAAGTGTGTAGTGTAAAGTTTTATTTTTGGGATTTATATCACTTCTTAACTAATCAGTAGTCAGATCATCATAATGTCATTCCTATAATCAAAAGAGATTATATTTGGAGACTTATATATTGTTATTCTAAAGTATTATTGCCTTAGATTATTGTGTGTTTATTTCCACCCATATATCTTATTTTCAAATGAAAGCTGCAGTTTTATAATTTTGCTTTCAAGAATCAAGTCGACTATCACTGTATAAAACAGGTGAGAAATCAGTCAGTAAAAGTGTGACACTAACTTATATAATTTGCTATCTTGGTTTTTTCAATACAGAAGATTGATTTTTTTGTTAACTAAAAATTGTCTTTGTATTACGTACGACAACCTTCAAGCTAGTTTTTCACAAGTTCTATTGATAAGCTGTGACCTGTTGAATTAACCGAGTTAGAAGTACAACGTTAAACAACTCTGTGAGAATAGAGTTTGGGGATCATACTGTATCTCAGGTTGATTTAAATTAAGATTATCAATCAATGATTTTAAAACTTCTCGATTCATCATGAGAGTTAACTTTTCTTAGTTCTTTACCATGTATGGTCTTGACTATGCTTTCCTAAAAAGTCTTAAACTAGAATAAAATAACTTATTTGTAAGGATTAATCTTTTTCTGGTTGTCGGTGTTCAAGACTGCGATTGTTCAGTCTTTATTAGTATTTGTTCATCTTCAACAAACTGCCTCACTATTGCCAATCCAAATTTATCACAATGAAATACTTCTTCAATTATTGCTAATATTCAATGATCATTTGTTCGATAATCCCGGTTTGTGAGGATTATCAATTTCAAATCGTACTTAGTCTCTATAATTTTAACGGGTCACCCCCAAGTTTTAATTGAATGCTTTATCTACTTAATTTTTATTTAATAGTCAAATTGTCTTATCTAACACTTTAAATACGTAAAATATATTTATATCCTGTTACATAATTTCCATTCGTCTAGCCCTTTCTCATATTAAATTTCTAATGGTTAGAAATTTAGATATTGTTCATGTCTTCTTTTATCCCCAATATTTTTGTATTCACTTATAGTTAGTTAATTGGCATTCGTGTATTTCTTTATTGGATGAAATTTTGCAGAACATCACTGAAGAAAATTTAATGAATGGTAATTTGACAGGTTAATTTTCCATTAATTCATCATTTCGTTTTTTTTGTAGCCTAAACGTTTGTTGCATTGACGAGTCGTCCAAACAATTTTCTATTTACACAAATCATTTGCACAGATATCTAATAAGGATAGGATTTTTAAAAGTAGCATAATTTTTGTTAGTATTATGAGGCTTCTAAAGATTGTTGAATTTGTAGTTTTACATCACTAACCTGATTTAGTTGGGGAATCATTACAAAACAAGGCTCATTGGATTGTTATTTTGTCTTAGTATACGATCCTCCTGTAGTACATATCCATTACTTCACCAGGGAACGAACCCATCAAGCCTGATTTTTTTATATCCGATCTTCATTGATGCTGTGGATGCTAATGTGTTCCATACTAATATGAAATAGATGCTTACTGCTTTCTTGCTTTTATTAGTTGTTTGACTAGATGATTTTTTTCTGTGAGCTAAAACCCATAAAAACAGACAGATATACTATTGAAAACTGGATTAAGTTTCCGTTTTAAAGAACAATTAAGTCTAAGTAAATTGTCATCAATGAACGGTTTTATGATATAAGGTAGGTGTTTAGTAATCCGTCATTAAATTTGGAAACTAGGCTACCTAACCTAAAAATGATTATCCACGATATTTTCCAACCATCTTTCATTGTCTTCGGTAAGTAACTGCTTCACACTCAACGCGATTGAACTTCACTGGTCACATCTCACTAGAAAATAATTATCCGTGTTAAATATGTATTCATTATAAATGACTAACTCAGTTTTCTTAAATCATGAATATTTTTTCAGTCATTTTCTTGATTATTTACCAATCAAATATCCTAGGTCATAGCCCACATTTGAATAAATGAAATCGAATTAATCATAATTCAATGTTTGTTTCGTGAAACCAACGAAAACGCTAGAACTTTGCTTCATTGTCATACGCGAATCGTGGTGATGAGGGCGACAACAAGTAAAATAACACCAGTTTTCAGTGTTATCGGTTTCCATTTAACCAACTGTAGCTACAAACATACTTTACAAGTTTAAAATATAAATTTGGGCTAAATAATCACAAAAATGTGTGTTATTTTGAGTTAACGTAAGTCACATCAACACAACTCTGAAAAACTTAATCGGAGTTTCTATTTTTATCGGATAAAACAGGATAAAAAAGCTAAATTTCAATAAAAATGAAAGGGATTGAAATAGTCATGTTCAACAATTCGAGTAAAGCAAGTAATAAATGTATTTGAGACCAAGAAAAGTTATTACTATTATTTTGCGGACCCGTACCAGAAACCTTGCGTTTCGTGACACACCTCAGAAGAACAGGTAGTGACTTTATGAACTGATATTAATTCTTCATATGTTTGCCCTTAGCGGTTTCTTTTCCGATCTACCTTTATGTTAGCCAGCACTATGTTGGTGTAGTCGTTGACTATACATATCCAAACTACTTCATTGTCATCAATAGATCGACGATTCATGGTTAGAAAATGACATCAAACTTCAGCGTTACTCATTAGCTATCTGTGCTATACATAAGGAATACATTCTTTCGCCATCAATATTATATAGCCTCAAAATATGCATAGCATCTATGTCCAGAAGGTATTGTCAGGGAATATCTTTTGAAATATTCTGACACTTCTTACATTTATCGTCCTAACAACGTTCATAAGTATACCTCCCAACGGTGTACAATTTTTAGAAGTCAAAAGGAAGTTGTTGCTCTAGTCAAACGACTAACAAGCACATAATAAGAGAGAAGAATTGGTGAATTTAGTTTAAGATGTAAGGGGGTGTAAGTAAGTCATCAAATATGTTTAAGAAACTAACATTTAAACCAGCAAGAGAAATAAGTAATGTTGTGCCTCTTTACTTATTGTATGTAATGTATTAATATAAGTTTTTTTCAATCTTCCGCTTTATACAACACAATTTAGCTCTGCATTATGATCAAAAAACACTTGGAACACTAAACAGTTTAAAAATGAATATATATTTAATCATAAACAAGTTACAAGAATGTTCAGTGAATTCAGTCAATCTGTTGAAACATTCTTCTGTCTCAAAGTTGTCCGAAGAAAAAAGCATATATTTTTCAGTATGCCTTTGTCGTTTATTTTATTCATTAATAAAATTTACGAGTAGAAGGGATTTATCTTCATCTGTTAACGGAAACTCAACCATTTTAATCGACAACAGTTCATCATCGTACTCAAGTTATGTCGATTCAATTTTCAATACAATCCGCTCAACGTTTCAATGGTTGGATAAAATTTCTTCAACAAATAATAATAATAATCCGTTGGTAGATTCTGAAGTTTTAAAATCTATAAGGTATATTCAACAAGTCAGTTTTTTCAACTGTCATTCAACATTTTATGTTTATACTTTACATTACTGAGTGGTCTTGTGTAAATAACATTAAAACTAAGAAGCATTCGACAGCCGTTCTATCCTAGCACGGGACTCCTTGTCAGTACGCGTCCACAACCCCACCTGAAGTCGAACTCGGCACCCTCATGTCTCGCGGCAAGCTTGTCAGCTTTAGACCACTGAGTCGGCATCCAATTCTTTACATGTCTAACTTCAGCTAAGTTATAATATTGCTCAATTAAGTAAATACAGCTTTCAAAAGTTATTAGTGGCTTCACGATTCGTAGAGGTGTTGTGTTCTCCAAACTGAATGACTTAATCATTAAGCTTGCATTGTCTATCTAGACAAAATCAATTGCACATAATTCAAAAAGTATTGAGCCACTAGTATTTCTCCACAATCGTATTTTAGATCAGCCATTTTTATGTTGCCTCACCCTCATTTCTTCATTTTATTGTTGTTTTCTACTTTTCTGTACAGAGATGAATTACTTTCATTCATTCCAATTATTTATAATTCATGCGATCTATTTATTTGCAAACTGGACCAATTTCTCTTCGACTATCTCAAAGGTAAGTCTAATTTTGATGTGTTTCCTGTCTGTTGTCAGTGATATTCAATATACCAACCGTAAGTTGTAGGCTTAAACCCCGATCTACTCCAAGCCGAGTGGATGGTAACTAGCAGTGAGACCCAGGATGCGCGTTTCGTCCTATTTGGGACTAGTCAGCTGGATATACTTGCATTCGAGAGTCCGTGTGCACAAGCTGGTGACTATCTGGACTCAACAGCTAAGTAGATAGCTCATTGGCTTTTGAAGCGAACCGTACTGGTTTCGAGTCCCGGAGTGAACATCAACTCTGGGATGCAGGTACACCCAGTTGACCAGTCTCGAATGGGCGAAACGCGCGTCCTGGATTCCACTGCTAGCCACCATTATCTCTACTTATAATGCTTGTGACTTAAGGCAATATCGAGTCAATCCGCACAGAACGCATATTTGCCAATAAGAGACTGATCTATTGAAGTCCTATGTATCAATGGGAAGATCCAAACAACTAATACAAAAAATGAACCTGCTCTACGCTATTGCGATTTGTGTAACCAATTAGTAGTATTGGACATTGCGCAGACAAAGTTTATAGCGCATAATTAGGTATATATAAATCTGTAACTGTTAGCGTATGAAACATTCCCATTCAATAAAATATGTGACTTTAAAGAATATTTTCTATGCAATTTACTGAATAAATTTACAATGAATTGTTCGCAAACTGACCATTGTTATAATATTGAATGAAGCCATTTATAAAAATAATAATAAATTTGGTTATGCTATTTCAACCCTTTTGTGGTTATCTGGTTTCACTTCTGTTGATGTTTTTGGTGGCTGGCGCACCTTTCACTAATTTTCTTTGTCTCCCCACCTGATACTAGTTATCTCTAAAATTTGCGATTGATTGATCACTGAATAGCGACCAATGTTCTTGAGAACTGAGTGACTTCTGTCGATTGATTTGCAGTATGTTCATGCGTCTGAATGACTGGACATCACATGCCCTATATTTTGACTTGAGGTAGCTGGAAATAGTCAGCAAGAAACTCTAGACTAATTTTACTCTCTAATTGACATTAATCAACAAAATCTGGTTGCAGTACTATGGGAACTGACGCTCCCTGGCCAGTTCTAACCCTCGTGGATCAACTTCACATTCTGAAGTGCCACCACTGACATAAAATCTCAGGATTATTCAGTGTTTAGCCACTCAAATTAATGGGTAAATTGCAACTTGATCGTTCACCTCCAGAGAACTATGTAGACATGAGATTGGTTAGTACTCAGTGATCAATTAGTCTCAAATATGTTTTACATGAGGTCTGTCGCGGGTCGATGAACACTTTGGAAAGGTGAATGTGTGTGACGTGGATTTGAACTCATCAGGGAGAAACAGTTTCCTGAAGATTATAGCCACCGGTTGTTGAAAAGTGCCAACTAGCACAAAACCTAGGTCTGGGGTTTCCTTCTGACTGGATCCGATCATCTAACACTAGAGTCTATGTAAAGGATGAAATTATCTCCTCTCACACCAACTAAACGAAGGATATTCATACCCTATGATACTGCTCAGTAATAAAGTGATGTTCAGTAATATCAAATGAGAATGCGAATTGACTTTACATATCCTCTTGTTTCATAACAACAATTTTAGCACTTTACATGTAATCACTAATTATTTTAAGGAACCAAGCAGCATTAGTTCCCATTAATTTTTCAGCTGATATCAGTCCGTGACAAATACTGTCTTCTTGTGTAACTAATCACCACAAAAACAATTCGTGACCAATGGAGTTCGGCCTTGTCAGTATTGAAACAGTTATCACCAACGACACTAGAGAACTGTCGCGTAATATCTAAAAAATGGATAAAGTTGAATTAGGTTTTGACACAGCAGTCTGATGATTAGACTTGGAACAATCGCATACTAGGACAAAACAGCTATCCAGTGCTCTCCAGTTTCAATGGTATGCTAATTGAGTTCAATCTGTGACAAATACCACCTGCAGATTTTAGATCAGTTAATTTAGTGATAATATTAATAGGTTACTTCACGTTTTTACCATTTCTTTGTATTCATTTTTTTACATACTCAAAAATTAGATTGTCAACTGGAACAAATTACATTGAATACTTCGAATAATTTTACAATGGACATTCTCAAATATTGTTCATGTAAAAATTTAAGTTTACTGAAGAAAACAATTGAATTTATTCTTGAAAAGTGTAATAATAATGATATGTTAATGGACTCTGAAAATGTTAACCTTGTCCGTCTTCGATATTGGGGTATGAATAATTTTTTCGCGAAATTTATTTTCAAATAAAAATATTTTAGTATATTTAAATTTATTGTTTCTAAAATAAGGTATGAAAATTTTCCCCTTTCAACAGTTCTTGTTTTATACTGTGTGGGAATTGAGTGTCATCTTGTTATGGAGAACGGTTAGACAAGCAAATAACGTTTTTAAAATGAATGTGTGATATGTTGACTGATCAGTGAAATACAATGATACAATATGATTGAACAACGAGTGTTTCTGTGACAGCATGTCGAATGAACCAATGTCTAGACAGTAGAATAAGTTTTTATGTAATAAAATAACATGCTCATAAACAAAATCTTAAGACAAGATATGCATGACCAGATATCACGAGCATTTGGAGAAAATCAATTTTGTAGGTCACTTATTGTGCAATCAGCTAAGACTCATTTCCATTGTATAACATCCTTCTTGAAATTTATTTCCCTTAGTATTCCCTGTTTTATTCACAGAGCATATCTTGACTTATTAAACCGTCGGGAAATATGTTCAATCTGGTGCATTAATAAAAAGTAGTTTGATGAAATAAAATAGTGTAAAGTGATTGGTTTCATCATAAACCTTAGTCTAACGAATCTAAATACTCCTTACATCCTGTGAAAATCAATTACATCCTGAGAGTTGAATTAACACGTCTTCATTCGAATATATGTTCGTTGTTGTAAAATTCGACCCGTATCAGTCAAAAAAATATTTAATATAATCATCATCTTGACACTTAAACTGGGAGTGCCTCGTCGAATCAGATGCTAAGATATTTGTATTCTGAATGGTTTATTCTCCAAGACACTCATTAAAAATTATATCAATACCCACGTTTCTGTCCTGTATCATTATCGGCTAGAGATGTAATAAAAAGTTGGGTATTTTTATCTCTTCTCCAATAGTTAGAGGACTTGATCAACAGTTATCGCAGGCAGGGAACATAGTATAATCGCGTTGTATATTACACTCGCTATTTAAGTTATTATTTTCATTTGTGTAGTTGAAAACGAGTCATACCAGTGTTAATCGTTGCAAGGTGATTTTTTTTCTTTCTGTGAAATAACTGTTTTTCATTGCCTATTATTAATTGATTACACACGAGCATACACTAATTATGCTTTATGTGTGTAAAGTTCTATTCATAGTATACATTACCGATAAACTGATTGAAAAGTCATAAGTCATTATACCTAAGTTATTTATCAAAAATATGGTTAGCGATGTTTTTCTGAATTACTGTAGCTTGTGGTGTCCACTATCCTAGCTTTATTGGTTTTTTGATCTATCTCGAGGTAAACAATCTAAGATATTCCATCAGGCTTATGTATTTTTTAAAGATGTCAATTAGTTTAAAATCAATGTTACAACAGAGTTGTTCCAGCCAACCACCATAAAATTTGATTTTTTTCGGTCATTGAAAACTTTTTATCAAACTGGTTGGTCTTGCACAATCTGATTTCCTTTGAAGAACAAAATTTTTTTGTTGGAAGTTCAAGTTTATTTAGTTATTTATTTATTTCTCTCATCAAAGCAGTAAATCATTTTCACTACTTCTCGTCTTTTAATTAACTCTCCAGACGCAGCTGTCGTGTTTGTTCTGCAGTCTTGTTGTGTCAAGTTGTAATTATTTTTATTGTTCAATACTCAGTTCGCGTAGTATTCTAAGTTTTTAAACTTATTTTATTCACAGCCACACACACAGACATGCCCAGGTGACGATTTTATTATGTATTAAAGCTGAATGATAGGTTGTTTCATAGTATTAGGTTAACGAATTCAATTGCAGCTCGGTAATGTAGGTGCAACCATTGCTCTTATAGACATTCACGTCACAAATCCTTCATTCTACCGACTACTTTTGTTTGGACAACATTCTTGATTCACAGTGGAAATAGATTTAACTCATAGTCTGAGTACGCTAAATGATGCATTGTCTGTCCAACAATATACAATAATACTATATCAGTATGAATATTAGTAATCTTCAACAAGTGTCATGGCGTGTTCTGGTCAATCGATACTTCCAAAGTTTAACTTGATTGATTATATACACTAATCGAAAGGTCATCACATATTTCTCTCTGATTTTGCTTGGAAGCAAGTTCAGTTAATGAAAGGCTAATTCGACTATATCGGTTCTTGATAAACTAAAGATCTTAATTTGGATCACAAAATAACCCTGAATTTAACATTATCCCCCAATCAAGTACAACTTACTAATGGTTAACTTTAATTTACACTTTCTGTGTTAATCCTGAGCTCGAACGAACAACGTAGTGATTAAGAACTGTGTACTATCTCCATCATATTGTTAGAATATTGATACATTCGGTTAACTGGGGACCTCTAAAACGATGAAATAGAATTTTCTAATATTCTCTAATTTGTAATGTTTACTAGACAATGAACAATGTCAAACCAGTGAATATCACTTTTAATATTCATTTATCACATTACATTTTCTATTTTCAGCCAAAAACTTCACTTCATTATTATATTTTATCTGTGAATATTTGATTGAAAATTCTATTCATGATAATACTGAATTAGTAAACCTATCTTCAATCCATTCGTACTTATTTGAGTTATGTCAAAATGTAAAATATTTCGTAAATATTATCCATCATTACTGTGGCAATTCAATGACAAATGATAATTCTCAAAATAAATCTATATTGAATGAAATCAATAAATTGAATTTTATTTTTCGAACTATCACAAGTCAATGTAATTTATCGTAAGTTCATTTATATTTATATTCCTACTTTTTTTTATCTTTTGATAAAATCTATTTGTTCATATTTCAAATATGAATATGTGATGATTCATTTATTTACCGAACTGATTATTTGTTTTTATAGATTTTTTTATTTATTTTGATATATCGATTGACCTGAATTCATCCTATCGGTTTATCAATAAAATATTTTTTTAATGGAAAAAGTTTATATATATATATATATATATATATATATATATATATATATATATATATATCCCTTGTGAAATATCATTGACCAATCAATGTCTGTTGTAAAAAAATATTTACTAAAATAGCATTCGTCATTATGGAATGCGTACATTTATCTTTAATATGATTGGTCAAATTTAAAAGTGGTCACTGATGTTCACATATATTTTGGTATATTTAAAAGTACCTTAGTTACTTTAATAACTTTTAGATTAATTATCAGTTGTTGTATGACTGTTAGATTTTACTGTGTTTAAGGTTTAATAAGAATAAGAGTGATTAACTTACGTGTTAATATCGCGTTGTCACAGACATGATAATATCCATTAAATTAATTGTATTTCAAACTGATAATCTAATGAATTAATTTTCATCTCTTTTTTATTCAATGCTATTCTATTCTGTTGAATTCGAAGAATAAATTAGTCAAAAAAATAGATAACCTTTTGTTTATTTCCCGCTAACAGATGAATTTCTAAACAATTGTTATCTATTCCTAATCGACAACCTCACTTTCAATTTGTTTGCTATTTTAAAGGATATGTAATAAAAAGTTGGATTAAGTCATGAGGATTGGTCATAACATTGTCTACTTGAGCTTCATAAAACTTAATCTAATTTTCCGTTGACTATAAACTAGAATTCCAGAAAAAAAAATACGTTACAGTATTATGTATATATTCACAGTCGAAATCACAAACTGATCTTAGCGAAACCACCATTGAAAACCTGGAAGAACTGGACGGCTGTTTCGTATTTGTTATTGATTTACTTAAACACATAAACATCCGTACAATAAAACACCAAATATATATGCGCCACATAAGTAATTCGATTTCTGTGGGGGCTGCGGTTGTGTCCGTGTTCCCAAACCGAAGCAGGTGGGGAGCACACCTTAAGCATTTGACCTATAGGTCTAGTCCACAAGGCGGTGGAGCAACGTAAGGAGATGCGGTCCCATGGTAACCGGTCACCAACAATAATTTCATACGCTCTTTGTTTCCTTAGGATCCTGGAGCCCATGTGCACCATTGATTTTCCAGCTAACTCTTCTAGATAAATCCTCCATATCCACCAACCCGGTAAAAGCACCGAACATTCGCTTTTTGTCCTCTTAATTTTGTAAACAGCACTCTCACCACGAAAAGGTAATGAGTAGGACTTCCCTGTCAGTGGTTGTGTGCACGTAACCATGTGAGAATATTTCAAGAGGGAGAGCGGACTCTCCCCACTCTCGGCCGTACCAGGGCATCCGGGGGATGGCTGTTTCGTCTCCATGTGGGACTCCTTAGCAAAGACCATCCACGATCTTGCAGCCTTAAACTGAACACAGGACCTTCGCTCTTGCGTGAACGCTTAACCTCTAAACCATTGAGCCGTCATTCAAAAGTGTTGATGTCTAATTTCAACCAATCCATGATATTGTACAACTTCACCCGACACGGATTGAACTCCACTGGTTACGGCTTCTTAATAGAACTCCAGGAGTTACATCTTAAATCTAGTCACTAGTAAGCATTATAGTAATTAATGGTTGGGAGACGTTTGATAACATTGGTCATAAACAGATACACTGGGACAAATAGATTGACGAGATAGTAAACCCCCATCAACTGCATTGTTTGCGACATGTGTCACGTATGCCCAACCATTGCTCATCCTGACAGGCTTTGTTATGTGGTGTAGGAGCAGGCTGGATGAAATGTAAGGGCGGCCAGACCCAAACGTGGCATTAGTTGATGAAATCATTTACAGCTGAACTGGGCCATACTAATTTTTGTAGACTACATGGTTGGGATCCACGTGATTATCATAACCAATAGTAAGAGACTTTGAATGATATGGCTCAAGATTGTTTGCAATGGCACATGTGCATTCATTTTATCTTCCTCCAAATTCTGTACTTCTAAACTTCTCACGACTTGTTTTTATTTTTATTTGAGTAATTTATATTTTCTTAAATCGTATTTTCAATGCCTAATCTTTTCAATCACCACTGATAATGTTACTACCTTTCCTGTTCTAGTATTTAGCCTGATAATCTCATCTCTCAGTGCTAATGAGGTATGGCGATTTCAACTGATGTACATACATACCAGGTTCGAAGTTGAGACTGATTGACTCATAAAGAACTGAACGATTGTGTATCCTAATTAGTGGTCTCTCTTTTTTTAATTCTTGTAAACTTAGTCTCTAATTAATCCCTCGTTTTCCTATCTCATTTAGTGGCTAGTGAATTAAATTGTTCATTTGACTGTATTTAATCAGTTGTATCTTCAAATAAAACAAGTTTTTTAATTAAATCATAAAATACACTAAATTTTTTGTCTTATTAAATTTAAAATTTGTGTAGGAAACATGCATAACTTTTGGTAACTAATATATTGTGGAGGTTTTTAACCGATTGAAAATAGTAACAAAAAAAATACTGAAGGTCAACAGTAAAATAAAAAGAAAAATAATGTGTTCCTTCATTTTATTCACTCAACCTACACTTATTTTCGTTGTATGTATCCTTAAAGCAAAACAAAATCGATAAATCCTTATTACGAATTTATGTACAAATGTGAATTATGATTGATTAAATCATTACTCTGTTAGTTTACCTTCTTCTTTTGTTCGAATATTTAATTCTATCTCCCCACTCTCTCTTCATTTATCATACAAATGAAGTTCAAGGTGGTGGAAAGAGGAAAATATCGGTGATTCATTTATAGTGAAATCATGAATCGATCGTAAATATTTAGAACTTTTGTTATAATTTTAGTATTAAATGTCAGTTATCGACTAGGTAGGAACCTGGCGTAGTGTTATATGCATGAACTCAAGTTTCCACACTTCAAATGTACATAGTTAAAAGAAAGCTATTAACGGCAATGAGAACTGAATATTAGGATTGTTATTCATAATGATTGGAATTAGATATAAAAGAATGGAAAGTGTGTATTAATGATAATAAAGCTCAAAGCTCCAAAGATTACGAATAAATGAGGACATGTACACCAATGTAACAAATTATGTACCATATCGCTTAAGGATCTCCAAGCATAAACTATGACAATCCTATGAACTACAAACACATTATCTGTTGATGGTAAATATTAATGACTTCAGTGAGTTTAACTGTGGACTACTCTGATCGCTTAAAATCTTTTTCAAATCTATTATCTTGGCCAACATACACATGTTCAACACCAACTGCAGTCCATGTGTACTGCATGCATGCTTCAATCGCCTTAGTCAAAGAACATTCACAACTTCATCACTTAATTCATTATGTTTACTTTGTACCTCACACTATCCTAACGCTACTAACTTGATATTTCTATCATATCTTAATAATGGATCGATGACACGTCATGGAATTTTAATTACCTATATATACTTTCTATCGTTGGAGGTTAAGTTTACCATTCTAAAGCAATACAGAGAAAACTGCTCTGTGGGATACTTTCTTCACAGCAAAACAGGTATCGCAGATGAGAAAGTTGTCAAAGACTAAACGAAATTAACTTGATGTATTCAGCCACAGACTAACCCACTAGCTTTGGTCATACTTCTGAAAAATTTTTATTTTGACACATAGATATTGGTACAAGAAGGCACCAAATAGATATGCACCGCACAGATCTCATTTGATATGTGTGAGGGCTATGATACTGTCCGGGTGCCCAAACCGAAGCAGGTGGTTTTCTTAAGGAGCTACACCCGGAGCCTTCTACCTAAAGGTCTGACCCGCAAGGCAGTGGAGCATCGTGAGGAGATGCAGTCCCATGGTAGCCGGTGACCAACGATTGTTTCATACGTCATTTGTTTCCTCAGGATACTGGAGCCCATGTGCAACATTGGTTTGGGATCCGGTAAAGCGCCGAACATTCACTTTTCGTCCTCTCATTTTCGTAAACAACACCCGTGATGCGAGAAGGCAGTGAGTAGGACTTCCCTGTCAGAGGCTATATACGCGTGGCCATGTAAGAGCATTTCGAGAGGGAGAGTGAACTCGACCGTACCAGGGCATTTGGGGGCTAAAATAAATCTTCATGAATATAACTAATGGAATTTCGGTCTCCTGGTGAAGCGTCGTCCATTCTAATTTCCAGAGAGAAAGAGATAGGTAATCAATAATATTTTTCAGTAATCAGTTGAACGTCAAATGTTTTTATGCATCAGTAAAACAAATCACCTCTTTAATTACTCATAATTCATGTATGTATAATTTTATCTATCCAGTTGAGAATATCCGTAATATTTTTAATTTTGAATAAGCCTTTTGTCCAACATTTTGGGTGAGCACTACATATTAGGGTCCAATTTTTATTTCAACCGTTAACGCTTACGGAATTTATGCTTCTCAATCGTGTGTTTAGCTCTAGACCCTTGAAATGAAAATTATAGTGACAATCACACTCCAATATTTAACACTCTCATCTACTAAATGAATGGCTGAATAGCTGAGTGTCCGTAACTCAACATTCTAATGAAATATTGAGATATTGCAAGCAAACTCAGTGATGTATTTCTTTTCATTTATACATCAGCTTTGCTGATAATGTTCAGAATAACGATGGAAGCTCCACGACCAAACGATCAACCTTAGGGAACAAAACTTTATCAAAATCATCCACCTGAGCTTCAAATCTTCACCTTCTTATTTAGTTATATATTAATTTTTGTTTTGATTTTCTTCTTTAGTGAACAAACGAAACTTTTTCAAATTTATAAACATTATTTTGATCAAATGGATCGTAATCACCTCGAGGTTAGTTCGTTAACAGATTTCATGAATATACCTTAAGCTTTCAAATACATGATGTCACATTTTCAATTTTGTGATTGATTGACAGCTAACTTCAGTCTATGAGTCTGAAATAGTTTAACGAAACACTTGATCAACCTCTACATTCCTAATTCAATTTTTCTGTCCAGTGAATGGACATAAAAGAGATTTTAAAATATTGTTTAAGGGAGTATCAAGAGACATATATGAAATATTTATAATGGTGAGGTAATATAAACTGATTGATATTTTATTTTCAAGGTTACCATGGATAGGACTGAAAGTATAGTGGGAAAAATATATACTTTAAATGTTCTACATATAATCACTGAAAAGTCATCTTTCTAGATCAATAATTAAGAAAAAATGGGACATTTGTTCTGATCCCACTCTAATTAACTCTCTGAAGAGTTGTTCTTACTCATTAAAGTACCTGTGATGATCCTCAGCTGACTACTTAACTCTGTATGTGGTAAATGAGTTATCTAAAATATTTTTTAAAACATACCGTTTTTCATAAAAAAAGTATTGAACTTTTTAATTAAATTTCTTCACAAACTGTAACATCAATTATAAAGCTAGTAAAAATAAGTACAGAAAACAATGAATATTTCACATTCATGTGTGTATAGGTGACCGAGCTCACACATTTTCTTCACTTAAACGTGAAATGATTATAACAGAAACATAGTGCTTTGTTACTTTTCAACGTTAGAGATCAAGTGTTTTGCTATTCTTTTCACTTACCTGGTTTTTCCAGGGAATTAACAAAAGTTAAATTCACATTCATCAACTCAGCCTAATTTGATCTCTGATGGATAGAACAATTATTATTGTTATTGAAATTCAGTTCATTTGTATTCAAAAATGAATAATTAGATCTTCATGGTTTTTTTACTTAAAAATAAATAAGTTGTGTTTTCACTATTTTTTTTTCAGATGTATCCTGTAACTCTTGGATTGTTTACAATTCTATGTGGGATTATCGGTGGATTAAGACCGGAGGTACGTTTTTATTATTAATTTAGTTCGAATTAGTCTAGATTACCCACTTATTGGTATTTTGACTGGATTTTAATCAGTCTTAGTTGGCATATGTTCACCGTTAAAGGATAGTTTTGATATAACCGTTTTGGTACAAGTTAGTAAAGACTAAATGGAATTCTCCTTGCAGTCTAATCCAGGACGCGCGTTTCATTTTATTTAGTTTTATTCAACTGGATACACGCTCTTCCCGTGGCAAAATTGAGTGACCATCTGGTCTCAATAGATAAGTGAATAACGCGTTAACGTTTGAAGTAAATGGTACTAGGTTCATGCTCTGGGGGATCCAGGTAAATCGAGCTGACAAGTCTCCTATATAACGAGATACATGTTCTGGATTCTATTGTTAACCACCTTCTATCCCTTCTATATTAATTTGTTTGTTGTCCATTATCGTGAAATATCATCGTGATTATCTTAGTGTTGTTTGAATATATATGCTTCAAAATATGGATTATTCGAACAAACAAATGTTTTCGATGACTTCATCCTCAGGTTTATCAATTATAAATTTATAATTATCGTATTGCAGTGTCCATAATCAAACATGAGTAGTAAACACGTTAAAATGAATGAAGCCGTTTTGGTCTTATATCTTAAGAATCAAGATCAAAACAGTTCCTTCATGTAGTTAAAGCTATCGAGATGAACTCCAGCAGACTTAATGTATCCGAAAAATGTCTATTTTCGAATTATTAAGTAACACGTTTTAAATTTTTTTACGCTGTTACGGATCCAATAGTTTATCATTTCTAACATGGGACTTATTTCTGTATCCATCACTCTAACTATTATAATACGATAAATATGAATTTATTACTGTCTCACCCGATGATGAGTGAGTTGACAACATTCCACTTTTTTTCTACCTTATGGAGATCTTCAGACTCGGAATGCATGAACGTATATAAGCAGGTTTACTTACAGGAGCCTTGTTAAATTGTTTACTGTTTCTAAATAGTTAAGCTATATCATCTTGACAGCAGTTGAGCATCTGTGTCACTACAATGACAGCGATACAACGATTTCACAAAACCGTTTAATCGGTAGTAGCGGTGGTTAATGTCTACAAGCTTATAACTTGCACATAGCATATATATATATATAGTATAACTCAGATTTATCTGCATTATTTAGTTTGTAAATTCTGAAAATCCAGTTCAACTGTTGACTTGGATTATGGATAATATTCAAAAGATTCTATGTACATCTTCTACTGCCCCTACCCTCACTAACACAACCAATAACTCTTCAATGCCATCATCTGTTATATTCTGTTATTCAACAACCATGTTGTCATCTACTGCTCAAACATATGCTTCTGTATTGAATAAATCAAATGATACTTTTGCATTAGGTAAGCTGTTCTTTGATATTTCTTTCTGTTTTTTTAATGGAAAATTAAATCATTGTGATTGTCCTCTCTTTTTCCGCTGGAATAATTTTTTGAGTAAAAGTTTAAAGTAGTGTATATTGCAATAAATTAGCATTTATCTTACTGTATCAACTTACCGTTAGTTTGCTGTGTGGTTTCGTAATATAATTTCTTTCCTGTTCAAGCTATATTCTAATTCTGGGACCAGTCAATTGGAGTAAAATATTTCCAAGGAATGCTAGGCAATATAAGTTTAACAGTATAGAAGTTACTCGCTAACGTTGTTTATTCTAAGCATTGGATACCGGAAGTGGTTACCTGAGTAATCATCAACCTACCCTGTTTATTTGTTGATAATTTCAAAATGTAAATATCATTTTAGATGGAGTTACTCGCATTACTAGGCAATTTTTTAACATGTGCAACCACTTCACGCCATTTTATGTAAAGACAATTTTCGCATTTTTTTATGTATTCGATTAATCTCAATAAATATTCAATATGCCAAATTGATCACTAGTCCATAACCGATTACTATATAATTGCATAATTACATATGAATTTTGTAACATTGTATCTTGTCCGCATTCACTCTAGAATATCTGTTTACAACAATTGAAACAAGTCTCTACATTGTTTCACATTGTATGGTATAATATCTTATTTAATATGATTGTTACGGTCTTCCGTTTTTATGTATATTCACATTATGAAATTTTACAGCCCACGGATGAGTTTACTTTACGTTTAACATCTGACCAATAACAAAGTGACCGAAAAATCCTAATGCCGCTGCTCCAAAACACAGCGCCTTTTATCGTCAATAACTATTCCGAAGTCGGAAATCAAATTTCCTTTTATGACTTAAAAACTCTTAATATTATTTGCATTCATTAAATACGAAACAAATATGTGAAATTATAATTTGTGTACGACCCAGTCATTAGAAATACAAAACAGAACAATAGGTGCATAATTGATTAACGACCATTGCTAATCGATATATATGGAGAGAGTTAAATTGATACCCGGACAAGATGACATTCAGAAAACATTGATAATTAAGTAGACAAATTCAACATATTCAAGTTTATTTATACCACCTAGTGACGTACATAATAATCAATTAGATCGCGCCATATATGAAAAATCGACTAGTCTTGAAATCATAAAGTAATTATCACTCTTTTAAAGGTATGAGGCAGAGTTGTCAATCCACGCCACGCTTACGAGATTCAAACTCCAAATTGAAGTGTGCTATGAGAATTTCTTTACAAAAGAATAGTGACTTGTTCTATTGACCTTAAATTTGATTGATTGCTGTTTACTTTTTTTCTACCAATGTCTGCATATTCGTTTTGATTGTCTTATTTCTTGACCTTATAGTTACTCATACTTTTTCCAATTTCAACAATAAGGTCAAGGAAAAAGGTGATCAAAATAAACCTACGGATAATAACAGAATAAGTATCAACGTCAACTTCAGAGTTGACAAAGAAAACTGCTAATCACGCCTAGCGATTCTCATAACTTCTGTATAACGTTTGTTCTGATTATCTGTTATGTCCTCTTTTCTTTAATACTTATACTTGTAAGCAAGGAACCACTACAATTCTCACAACGCGAAATAAGGACACATAGACTGGTACACATGAAGATTTATTTCATCCAAAACACGACGACAACCCTAATGGAAAGTGCACACATTTATATATTGATTTGTATGATCATTTTGTACGAAAATGTCGCATATGAAATTATAGCGAAATCACACGCTGCATGTCATTTTAAGGATAGTTTACGTTAATTTAATACAAGAATATATCTTCAATAAACATCACACTAAAGTAAATCAATGTTATACTGAATAAAATGGCACACTGAAAAATCATCGTATTGAACTAAGAAATGGAAGTAATGTTGAATAAAAATCACAATGAGCTAAAAACTTTGATTTGCATTATCATCCCGTCATATCATGATGATGTTGTTTTAGAAAAACAATGAAATCTTGGTTACTCAACCACTCAGTCAAGAGTGAGCGATGTCAACAAAATTATCTTGATTGGTTACGTATTTTCTCCTCCACTATAAGGAGTCGGAAATCAGCATGTGTAATATAAAGCTGTTCAATGTTTCCTTACTTTACATAGTACTTCAACTAGTGTCACCAACATCGAACAAATCTAAGAATAAAGTGTTCAACAAGAAAATAAACCATTTTCTCATGGAATAATTCATAAACCAAACTAAATCTCGCTACTGATCGTGAACTGCTACTGACCACTGTGTTCAAAGTATTTTTGTAGATTCTGTTTGTTTCTTTTCAGTAATGGCCTCTAAATCATTCCGCTTTCAACCATTGAGTCACTGGTTCAAACCTTGCCTTTTCTACCTCACTTTAAGCCTTATCATTAGCCCCCACATATACAAAAGACGTAAGACTCAAAACCCTTGTTATGTATAAATGTACTTGATAAGTGAGTTACACTTATTACTGTTATCATTATTCGAGTAAATTGAGTATTTCATACACCAGGTGCTCATCATTCCAACTGTATATTATATAAGATGTGCTCTTGTAATAACTGAAGGTTAACAAGCACAAACCTCTCATTCATTACCTAGTGTCATTTTGGTTATCCTTTCTAGTTTGTTTGTTCTTTTTTTTTCTTTTCTATACAGATATTACCAATCATTTGTCCACTAGTCTAAAATATTTCTGGTCAATAACAGAACAGAATAATTCTGTTGATTTGCATACATTCATTTGTTTTTGGCTTTTATGGTCAATTCGTGGTCTATTGGCTACATTGAATGTTAGTCTTCATGGTGCTAATGTTGACAATAATAACAATGATTATTATCATCATAGAAAGTGGTGTGACTCTCTTATACAGTCAATTTTTCTTGATTTTAACACAACTGATCACGATGATGGTGATGATAATTGGATTTGCACTTTTGAGAAAAGTTTATCATCATCACATGGTCGTGTTCTGTGTTCAATAGATTGTTTTAAACAAGCTGATCAAATACTTTTAGACTTAGGGATGAAATCAAATGATTGTTGTTTGAATACTTTCAATCATTGTCGTATTACAGATTCATATATTCGAAATGTTTTGGAATGTATTCATGAACCTATTTACAATCTAATTCATTTATTGATCAATGTAACTAGACTTCAATCAGTAGATTTTGAAAAAAATATCTTGTTCAAACCTTTTCGAGGTAAGTGATCCAAGTGATATTTTGTTTAGATCTGTATATACTTGTGAATTTAAAGTAGACGTTATGGTTTTATTTTTTTATGCCAAATGTTTCGTAAGAAAAATTTTTTATATATGGTGCATACTACCTATACTGACAGATATAAGCAGTATATAACACCTATCTACCAGCAGTAGATTGAGTTTAAGAGAACAGAAAGAGAATCGGAATAACAACAGAGTTGAAAGAATCATGAAGCTTGTAAAGGAATACTATTGGAAAATGTACAAATAATGTATTCAGTGTACGCTTTTCATATTTTACGTTTGTCCACTTTTTATATAGTGTCTCGTTCTGTACATCATCATTGTTTGTACTGACCAGTATGACAAGTTAGGTAACGTTGTGAGAAATTCCATACAGTGTGAGATATGGTCTAAGTTATGCTGAAAAGATATGTATTGTTTAACTGTTTTGGTAGTGACTAGGTGTATTGTCTTATTCTTTCATTTTATTTACATGCTATTGTTGGCATAATACGGGACTGAATAATAGCTTCACACAAAGTGGCGTGATCGTATTACGAAGAAGTGGAGCAGAGAAAGATCATGAAATTAGAAAAAATATAGGAATCGAATTCGAATTTCATAGAAGATAAAATTACATTTCATCTACGGGGATTCATGTTTCTTTAATGTAAAATATTAGTCACAAACAGAGTGCATTTATGGGCCATTGGGTTCCAACCAATTCTATACAGCTATCTTCTTTACTACAGCAGCGTATTATAAATTGACCACTTCGTTTATATACCACATAGCTCTAAAGATAAAAAATAACAATCGGGTATTACATTCAATAAACATCATCAAGCCAATTAAACTGGTGTCTCAAGATGTTAAAATTAATTGAGTTACCATCATTGCCACTGATTACTATCAGCTCTTTATATTGCAAGTAATCCTTAAGCATTCTTTGCTCATAGGAGACATAGTTCACAGATATAATGTTTAACTGCTCACTCCAACGCATTGTTAATCTAATATTTTATTGTGATAACCCCGAAAATAATGGCCAGAAACATAAAGAGTAGAATAGATAAGTATTTATCAAGAGTGACATCAGACCTTTGCTTTTTTGAGCGAATGAAAATGTAGTAATCTAGTTGTATGCTACCAGAATATTAATTTTAAAAGCTTTCCAAAATATCTTAGTATGTTTTTTTCTTAATTTGGCCAGCTTTTGAAGCATTGTAGTCATACATTGTTTACAACTAGTTTCCCCTTTCAATTCTATCACAATAATTCGGTTATACTGCATTGTTTGTTAATTTTGTGCAATTTCGATGCGTTTTTCAAGTGAACATATAAACATATATTGGTGATAAATAATTTAGCTGTGAATAACACGTGTTTAAATGTTGATTTTTATCCTGGTTTTTAGTAGTTACTAGTAATATGACTTTGATCAGTCAATCACTCAGTTATATGCAACTTTGAACCCTGTGCAAATAATCTACGACCTGTATCAGCACCGTTTCTCCAAGTTTTGTTTAGAAACCGTGACCGATGGGGCTCAACCATGCCGGTTATGAGACAGTTGGCATATAGAGTCAGTTTCTCAATATTTCAAAATGATTAAGGTTAAGCAAGTAAACCACTGGATGCCAGCTCAGTTATCCAAAGATTAAGCACTCTCTCTAAGACGCGCAGGTCATAAGTCTAATATCAGTAAGGTCGTGGATGTGCTCTGTTGAGGAGTTTCATACTACAATGAAACGGCTGTTCAGTACTCCCTGATTTTCAATAGTCGTTTAACTAAAATCAGTCGGCAATGTAAACTATGAAACATGGAATATAATCAGAAAATAACCAATAACACTAAGTAATAAGAATTATAATTCGATAGTAATAATAATAATATTAATAATATCACTAACAATAATTTTTCTGTTTCTTCTTTCCATCCCACTTTTTACATGTTATTAGACTCAATAGTAAAGTTTTATTTGAATATGACTGTTCGATTGCCTAAACAATATCTCACTGACCAGTCAGTAAATAAAGTAAGTGTTTCTGGTGGTGTATTCGTTTTATTGTCAGTGATGATTTTTTTTACGATTTATTAAACTACATATAACATTGTATGTTGTTATGATTAGATTCCACAGATTACTGGACATGGTGTTTCAGGCTTGTTCATGACTTTTTTTTAATTCTGCACACTATTTCACATAGGAAAGTAGTGCACAACACATTTACCACAAAATATGATATTTTCAGACTCTTAGTTTAAGTACAATGGTTAGGATTTTCAAATTAATTCATTTAGTAATATCATGAGATAAACAGTCTCACTTCCAGCTTGTGACCGTGTAGTTTTTTCATATTCATGTGATTAATTTTGATAGTCAACTAAATTTCTATTTTTTACTAATCTTTCATTCCATTTCTCTTGAGTTTCGAATACATATAATTCGCTGAGAATAACTCGAATCTCTATCTCATCTCTTAATAAGTAATAGTTGGCAGCAAGTGTAAAGTAAGATACTCGTCCTATCCGAAAACTTTTACAGTCACATAAGTAATATTTAAACTAAATATATTTGTTATTTAAGCGTGCAAGTGTATAAATTACTTTAGACTACATTATTATGGCACATGTATAGTAAGTAATCAATCATATAACTGGACGTTGCATTAAAATACTTGAACAGTTTAAAACTGATATGCTACTGACATGTTTGACTAAGCGACCGCGTTTACTAGAAAGTAGTTACATTAAGGCTTTATTATTCTAGGATTATGCAGCTCCAAGTTATTACTAATAGGTTAGTAGTATCTCTAGTTATTTAATGCTTTTGAAGAGTTTTGTAAATATTCTTTTACACTAATTTTTATTCGTCACAGTTTCATCGTATTAGAAGTATGACCAAAAACCATAAAGCACTGAACAGTTGTTTCATCCTACTATAAAAATTCACAGTTTTATGGACTCATGACTCCACTAGGAATCGAAACCACAACCTTCGGGTCTTACGGCGAACCCTTAATTATTAAAACTACTGGACCAACGCTCACTTCTATAATTTCGTCTTTAATTTGTTATATAACTCGACGATATTCCGATCTCATTGATGATAATTGTTTCACCAAGATGCTCCCTGATTTTCAATAGTACTTTAAACGAGATTTATTTAGAATGCGTAGAGATTTAACTAAACACTATTAAGTCAACATCTCTATAAAAACGGAGAGCTGTTAAGACTCGTTTGAGAAAATTATGCTGTTAAAACATATTAAATAATTGGTTATTAAAAAACATATGTACGAACTATGAGTTTAGAAAAGATATTCTTGATTACCTAGCTCAAAATTGTCTGCAGTGGTCTATTCAAATGGCCTTTAACGCAGTGGATCTTTATATAACTTACCAACAGACCACCCTCTTATATTGTCTCTAAAAAGGGGGGTACGTTCCCCACTACTTGCTGATTCAATGTGCTTATGTATAATGAATAAGTTTTTCATTAACAAACTTTGTATATTCATTTCTAAAATGTCATATCGATGTCTTCTTTTACATTCTCACTTAGATAATACCATCTGCTTTGTTCGCCATCACATCACCTAATGTTCACTGTCAGTTAGCTGGTTTGAAGTTTATATCAATAATCTTCAGTGATAATTTGACAAAAAACCTTGGATTATGCAATATTATCTCAGAAAATCAAGCTGATGATCTATTGGGGAAATTGCCAAAATTAATCCATTTCTCCAATAGTGATCAGGTTTGTTCCAGTTGTCCTTCTTTACTAATTTTCTTTATCCGTTTATTACCTTGCTGTAGACAAAACAAGTTTCAACAGAACATTTTTAGCTGTCGTTTGAATGAGACTAGTTTGATTTCATAAAAAAATTAGCTTCTTTGTGTTAGTCCAATCATATAGTATGTATGTGTAACCACTTTAGTTACCTTCTAGCCACCAGAGGGAAAGTTGATTCTATATTACTTCGTATTTATAAAACAAGGTCTTCAAAGACTGGTAATATTCGCTCATTGATGTCTTCAAAATATCGCGTACGTGTTAATAAAACCACGTAACATATAACTTTGAGGTTATTTGTACGATTTCAAGTGAAGCTATAAATCGTTCTATATGGTATGCTTTTATTGGCGCATATCAAAAAGATTAATACCTGAAGTTTAGCAGGGATTAGTGCTCGTTTCTAACCAATCAAAATGAATCGTAAGTTCTTTTCAATCACTTCACTTTATTCTGATACATTTCTTTGTCAATACTTACTGAAGCTTTCCTCTTGACTTAATATTTAATAAAGGAGATTAACGATACTGTAATGTTTGGTCAGGAAAATGAACAAACTATCAATATTTTAACGTGTTCACGTTTAATTATTGCTCGTTGTCTGTGCAGCATTATAAAATTTTTCCCGGAACAATTGATTAATCGACATCGTGATGTAAATATTCTACCATTGTTAGATCAATTAGTTGATGATCCCAACCGATATGTACGTATTGAAGCAGTTCAAGCAAGAAATTTATGGTTGATCTGATTATTTAATTTAATTATTGAATTACTGATAAATTATGAAATCCTAACAAAATGTATATGATTACTTATTAAATTACATCCATGTATATAGAAATATATCATTTATATTTTTCAGATATTTAGTTTTCTAAACTATTCAAAAAACTCGAGGATTTTTTCATTCTGTTACTTTCATTTGAAGTATAGTTCAGAGATGTAGTTAGGTTGTTGACTTGCAAAAATCAACTTTCACTGTTTTTAATCAACTGTATTTAACCCAAATATTGAATAATACTATAACTATGCTGTACTCACGCTCGATACTGTTAAACTTTGAATTTATTTGGGTCTACAGTAATTCCTAGTAATGAATGATTGGAATTCTTCTAATGCGAATTCCATAGACTGGATGTATATTGATAGTTATTACTGTAAACTATGAATTGAATAACGTCATTAAGAACATGAGGATAGTAGATAATGATTTATTTGACACCCAAAATAAATCAAAATGAATATGTGAATACATTAGCTTTTATGAGATTTACATTGATTGACAGTCAGATATGTACACATTAAACTGAATAGTAGTTGACATTAACTAATCATGTGAACACATATTGACAAAATTATAATTTCAATCCTCTATAAGCAATAGATACAAACGACTTACTAATTTATATAATTACACCTTAAGATGATTGAAAATAATTAGTTTCGTATATCACTTGCAATTTGATCAGTCAAGTCCTTGCTCACCAAATCTTAGTACACTATACTTCAACAATAATTCTCAACACGATAGAAAATGGGAGTTGGCCAGTTCACGAGAAGCATGATATTCAGGAAGACAAATTTGAAGTAAAACAACTCGATATATGTAGTAATAATAATACATGACCATGGGATGTAATGAAATTAGCAAACTGGAATTGAACAGAATCAATCTATTGACAGCGTAGGTCGTTGTGCAAAATATAAATCAGTGTTGTTTTTACAGGAAAGAACTAACATCTATGAACAGCAAAACTCTGAGTTATCTGTAGATCTTCTCAGTCAGTACAAATAATATTTAGTTCTTTATTTTGGTTCCACCTTTTCTTGTCTTGTGGTGTTTTGATATTCTTATCAATTAAAATAATGTTAACAATTTTGCTTTTTTGTTATCAAGAATTTGATATAATGGTTACTATAATATGAAATGTAGTATTAGTTAAGCAAACATAATGAGTTATTGACAACTACATGTCTGAGAAACTTCATTGTCACATTACTTAATTACGCCTGTTACCCCTCACGGATGACCAAAGGTCGCCCACCAGCAGTCTTCAACCAACTCTGTCCTGGACAATCCTTTCCAGTTGCTATTCATTTTTTTGATTTCTTCGAGTTCCCGACATATTATGTTCCTTGGCATCTCCCTTTTCCGTTTCCCTTCAGGATCCCAAGTTAGCGCTTGCTTCGTGATGCGGTTTGATTATTTCCGCAATGTATGTTTTATCCACTTCCAACTTGTCTCGTAATTTCCTCTTGAACTTGAAGCTGATTTGTTCTCTTCCACAATAGGCTGTTATTGATGGTATCTGGCAATCGCATATTGAGTAACCTGCGTAGACATCTGTTTATAAATACTTGTACATTTTTTTGATGGTTGTGGTTTCAGCTCCATACAGTACAACTATTTAGACGTTCGTATTAAAGATTCTGATTTTGATGTTGTTTTTGGGTTTCGTATGTTCTTCAACTGTATGAATGCTGCCCTTATCTTGCCAACCCTTGCCTCTCCCATGTTCATCGATTATGCTGACCAGGTTCGAGGAAGTTTCCGCCTCTTCCAGAGTTTCTCCATCAAGTGTGATTGGATTGGTGTTCCCCTTATACTTCGGGATCTTGCATTGTCGCATTATAATAATACCCATTTTCGCTCTTTGTGCCTTTGGGTTTCCTTTCAGTCTGGTCACTGTAGACCATATGATTGATTATGGCTTCTTTTTAGCAGGTAATTTCTTTTTGCATCTTTTGTACAAGTATTTATGTATATTATTATAATTTTACATGTTTTTGGAGTTGCTGTTGGCTTAACGTCCCATTCGTGTTCAGTGTAACACGTTTTTCATTGAGCTGTTTAGGTTATCTGTTTTATGTTTTAACGAAATCTTCTACAGAGAATTTTTCTTAGATCTAAAATGTGATCATTTCTGTGGTGTTGCTTTTTCACAGCTGCAAACATTCCATTTCAATTGATATCGGCGAATTTATATGTGAGATTTCTTATTCCTTTTATTTTTTGGTTATTTTACTAGCTACCTAGATGGCGATTTCCTATCAGGTGATTCAATATATAGTTACAATTGTCTTAACCATTTTTGGATATGTACAGCATGCCACATATTCGATTTATGTGAGGTCTGAGATACTGCCTGGGTGCCCAAAACGGGTGGTTTTCTTAGGGGCCACATTCGGAGCCTTTGATCTAAGAGTCTAGTCAACAAGCAACTTAAGGGGATGCAGTAGCTGGTGACCAATAATTGGTTCACACGCCATTTGTTCCTTCAGGATCCTGAGGCCCATGTGCACTATTGGTTTGGAACTAGGGTTTTCTCACTCCCCTAGCTAGATTCTCCGTATCCACCAACCCGGTTAATGTGCCGAATATTTCGAGAGTGAGAGCTGACTCCCCACCCTCAGCCGTACCAGAGCATTTGGGGACAACTATGCCGGACTCCACCATCTTGACTTTCGTGCCAAGTATTAGTCGAGGGCATATTTTTGTAGCAATTTCAGCTTTATCGATGTTTATGATTTCATCGTCGGGTACCTATAGGGTCACAGGTGATTTTGAGGTCCGAGAACATTCGAGGAAAGACACTGAAGTTAATATTAAAATCTGACAATCAGGTTTAAGAAAAGGTGTTGTTTTCTTAGATATTTCCCTAGAAATCGATCGGTCAACTTTTTTTTCGCCGATTTCGCGTGACTTCACTAGGAACTTACTTGGAATCTCTGGAAATTCTACGTATGTTCTCCCCTTTTGTCTATTATACAACCAAACTCCATCGTCCGTGTATTATTTATAATTCATCCGCATGAATAATAAGTGTGTAACCAACCAGTCAGGAAAAACAAACAAATAAGTAAACAAACCTTTCAGTACATTTACTTTCTCAAACATGAAAGCACTGAAAAATTAATTTAATTTTGTGAAGTCTGATAGGAAAATTGGGTCATGGGCTTATGATAATAATAGTAAACACGAATAATAACAGTTTATATACTTCAAAATACAAAAAAAGTAACTTCTCAGATTTATTTACGATACACGTGTCTTCTTTGCGATGAGTAGACAACTAACGAGCCAAAAAAAGAAAGGGAATAATTGAATTCACTTTTGGGGAGAAAAGACAATCAGGAAGACCGAATGTCTATTCAAGGCACAAACATTTATGTTTTAAACGATCCTGTGTGTATGGGTTTTTGGCTAAAATTTTTAAGAATAGCAATCAGTTGCTTCGAATAGAGATCAAAATTATTCAAACAATAACGATGACGAAATTGTAAGTATTGTGAACACAGTTGAAGAAAGTAATATAAAAAGAAGTTGATTGCTTAATATCTGTGTACTACAACATATATGTGCGTTTAATTGTATATTGTACACGCAGATCCGAATACGATTGTCATTTTTATACGCAATTGTCCATCTTAGTAACACTATTCACGATATTATTAATATCATGAAATCTTCAGGTAGGTGATTATGATGAATACATATGTTTTAAATACAAGACAACAATGAACATGATAAACCCTGTTATTTTTCAGTCGCTGTTGTTATAGAATCAGTGTCAGATGTAAACGTGATACAACATTCTCGTCAACCCTAATTTGAATTTCTTAATCGCTAATACATACAATCACCAAGATTAATAGTATACACATATTTAAAATCTTAGGGAACAGAAAACGATAGAGAATCAAAGACAACAATCTGATCACTAACGTCGAATGTAAATGAAAAGTTTAAATCAAGAGATTTAAAAGAATTTGTTGGCAATCTTAAATCAACATTGAAGAGATTAAATTCTCCTTAAAAGTGAAATTGTTATCACAGACATAGAAAAAACTACAATAAGATGTATAGGACTGTAGAGACTAAAATATCTTAAAGAAATTGAGCATGCTATAAAGCCAACCGAAAATGATAGTCAATAATAACAAAACAAAACAATTAAGAGCTGGATGTGGGGAACATATTAAATGATGGAAAAATTGAATTTGTATGCTTCTTTTTGTACAAAATGAGAAAAACTTAAATGGAACATCCCCTCTCAATTGTTCACAAATATTTACTTATCACTCGGTTATTAAAAATTATTTGTTGACTGATAAGATCGGGTAGAAATTCGATTGATGGGGTGATATATCCCAACTTCCTACGCAAATGCTGATTTTGTTTTTTATCAATTCCAATTTCCCAACTTTAACTCATAAATGTAGACGATCTGAAAAATAGGGAAAGTGAAACATTGAATATTTTTGAAATACAAAATAAACTAGTTTAAGGACAATATTTATGTGAAATAACATGACAACTATTAGAAGAATAGTTTAAAATCTGTACCTCATAACTGAAAAAAACATCATAAATGGATTATAAATACCTTCTCCTTATGAAACTCAACAAATGTAAATCACAGAATAGAGTGGATTGTCCTGGCAAACAACTTAAAATCAAACTCACGATTCTCTCCTTTAAATTATTACGTCAGCAAAGCAAAATATTCTTCGAAAAAGTCCAGAGGGGTCGTGAAAACACTGGGAAGCATTTTATCAGCGTTAAATAAAAGTGTCTCGGAAACATCCAGCATGCAAAGAGTAACGTGCCGCATTTCCGATTGCATGATTACCTATCCTGCTACTATGTTTAGTATGTTTCCAGAAGCCCAAGGCTATGTGTATATTAACTAACCTTGGAGTAAAGCTTTTTCTCCTATGTTCAGATTTAGCCTAGGGTTATTACAAAAGCTAAGAAAACCGATTTAAGCGTTCAGTTAGACTTATCAGAATGTTAAAACAGTTATAAATTACATGGATTAAAAAAGAAATCTCTAAGGATCGATGAACTCAAAAATGTTTCAAATCTCACATAAAGATGTAATCAAGTTGATGAATTTCAAAACAACCGTCGTGAATAATTGTTTTTCTACCTAAGTAATTATTTTATTAAGCAAAAAATAATAACAGGAAAACAAATTCTTATCAACCCAAATATTCAACATAAAACTCACTCATTCACTCCCCAGCTCCAACAGTTGATTCCAATTTGATTAATTCACTATTACCGATTGACTCAAGTTTATTAGCCAATCCACATGATCCAACATTATCTTTTCGATTGATTTTATCATTTTTATTTACTAATGAAATAACAGTTGAAGTGGGAGAAATTTGATTGTTACTGTCGTTGTTTTTCTGTTGTTGATTACTCCCAGATTCTTCATCACCTATTGTTCCACCTTGTTCCTCTTCTTCATCCTCCTCTTCGTCATCGTCTTCATCATCATCAACTCCATCATCTGGATTACCACCACCTTCAACATTGACTAACATTTCATAGGTTTCAGCTGCATAACGATCCCAGTCAGATAGTTCATTAAGTCCTTCTTCAATATCCTGTTATGAGATGAGAAAAAATAAATCTTTTTAGTTAAAATCAATAAATATTAACATTTATGCATCACTTTTTAAAAAAAATAATTGTTTCCTTCATCACAACAAAATGTTGAAATAATTCTATCATATATATAACTGTTATAGATTATAGTATAGTGGAAAAGTCAGACTAACTTGTTTCTCATTTATTTTTGTGAACATCTGAAAATAAATAAAAATATATTCTGGCTTATATTTTATGAAAGTATAATCATCACTAATGATATACTATTACTACGATGTTCTAGTTAACCACTAATTGAAAAGAACTATTGAACCGACATAAATATTAGAAAATTTGTCTTTGTTGTTGTTGTTGATCATCTTTTAGAGATGGATTATAATATTAGCGTTTTATTTTGAATTCTGATTATAAAACTGTATGATTCTTGATTCCATGAAATCAATGCATTTACAGTGTACAAAGATTTGTTTGACTGACTTTGAGTCATACTCCAATATGAGTATTAGTGATACTATGCGTTTTTTAAAACTAAACTGAAGAGGAGAGGAGTTCGAATCTGTGATTAAGTAATATAACGTTAAACATCTTGAATATTACAGATACCATTTGAAGGAATGATCTAACCTACTTCAAATCAGTCTAATATTAAAAACCATATAAAAATTTTGTAAATTAAAATCAAATGATTACAAAATTCTTAGTCTTAGACTAGAATGACGCGACGTGGTGATAAACCTAACAATCAATAGTGACATTGAACGGGACACGACGAGAGTGGATCGATCACACTTGTCACACTTTACATCATCAATAGCATATTGAACAAAAATGCTAGGATAAAAGGTAAACAATTACGAAACCATAAAATCAGTGATAGTGAACAAAACCAAACACATAGGATACCGTCTGGAAATAATTGACACATCTACACCTTTACAAAAAATAATAAACGATTTCGAACTATGCTACCTAAAGTGTTGAACTACTGATGACATTTACGCAATATATCATTAACACAAAGTATACATTATTGGACACGATGCGAATCAATTCATCCATAGATTTAATATTGTCTAATCTACTCGTATAATAGTCAGTATTTAATATCAATGTAATTTAAGGCTAATACAATCAAGATACATAAACTACCGATACTATACAGTTAAAGAGTTTAAGTAAACGTATGTATTTGACTGTTTTTTTTATGTAAATAAATCACGTAAAGCATAACATGTGTATAGGATAATAAACGATTGGACACATGTTATATTATATTGGTTGAATATAAAAAGCTTAAAACTATGTATCAAATTGAAACAATAAACTGTACAAATTCTAACCGGGAAAAATATAAGATTAGATAGAGACTTATAAACAATGATTTAACAAACTGAACACCCTAAAAACATTTTTCACATGGATAAAAAGAAAGGGTCAAAATAATCCAAAGATAACCATAGAGGGATAAGTTTGACTAACATAGCATCTAAAACACTAGCCTCAATAATTATCGGACGCCTAACTAAGACTAGTGAACTGCAAACACGAGAGAATCAAGCTGGCTTCAGACCTGGTCGTGGATGCATAGACCACATATTCACCATTCGTCAGGTTCTAAAACACAGGCATACTTATCGGCGTCCGACAATGGTGGTCTTCCTCGACTTAAAAGTAGCATTTGACTCTGTAGATCGAGAGGCTCTGTGGCAGCGTCTGTCATCGAAAGGCGTACGTCAGAAGTACATAAACCTTGTGAAGGCTCTTTACTCGAACACTACTAGTCGAGTCAGAGCTTACAGCGAACTGTCTAATCTGCTTTTGCAACCTCAAGTGGTGTCCGTCAAGGCTGTCCACTTTCTCCATTTTTGTTAAACTTCATCATAGACATACTAATGGAAATAACGCTCTCATCGACTGAATTCTTGGGCATTGATCTCCTTCCAGGAGGTCCACATATCGACTTAGAATACACAGATGATATAGTCCTGTTTAGTGAAGACGCTGATAAAATGCAGAGTCTTTTGGTAGCACTGACCAACAATGCCAGAATGTTTGGGGTGCGCTTCTCCTCCTCCAAATGCAAGCTGTTGCTCAAGGACTGGTCCGCGTCAACACCTAAACTAAGGATAGAGATGGAAGTAGTCGAACGCGTTGACAACTTCACTTATCTTGGAAGTCTGATCAGCCCTAATGGGTTGGTGTCTGACGAAATCTCAGCACAGATTCGAAAAGCTCGTTTGGCTTTTGCCAACTTACGTCACCTATGGCGAAGGCAAGATATCCGTTTATCAATTAAAGGACGAGTATCCTGTGTGGCAATTCGTTTTGTTCTACTTTACGGCTGCGAAACATGGCCATGAAGAGTTGAAGATACTAGTATTTGATCACAGATGTCTTAGAAATATTGCTCGCATCTGCTGGGATCACCGAGTAAGTAATAGTAAGGTTTGACGCACGGTATTAGGGGATGATGGTAATTCAGTTGATGAGATTGTGAATATACATAGATGGTTGGGTCACGTATCACGCACGCTTAACCGCCAACTACCACGGAGCGCAATGTTGACTAGTGTTAAAGACAGATGGACGAAAGTTAGGGGCAGCCAAAGCAAAACGTGGCATCAGTGCTTGAAGTCACTAACTTCTAGTCATAGTCACGTTGGTAGATACAGACTACTTGGTTGGGGTCCGCGTGACTATCTTAACCAATGGTTGGAGGCTCTTGGTGACATGGCCCAGAATCGGTCACAATGGCATGGACGTATACACTATTTATCTGCCCTTAAACCGTGAGACTAAAATTGCTTTATATCTTTCTTTCTACCAACTAATTCTTTCTCCCTGTATTATATCCTTTTATACGCAGTATTTTTTTGTACTACTGCCACTGAAGTAACTGTTTTTATGAATTTGGTGTTCATCTTGTTGTGCTAATGAGGTATGACAACTTGGACCGATGCATATATGTGCCTGATCCTATGTTGTAGTTGGCTGACTGACTAAGTAAATATTTTTGTCATCTGAATTAAACTCATTATTTTACAATAATGAAACTTTAGGAACAATCATTTAGAAAACTAATTACAAAAGACTTTAGTAAAACTTACACGTAAATTAGCAAACGGATCACGTTGTTCATGTTGTAAATATTTTGGTAAATTAAAGAATGTATCAAAAAATATATGACATAGACGACATTGTTTCATATCTGATAGTCGAATTTTATCGGTAAGTGCTGGTTTCACCATATCCAAACATTGACATAAACAATCTTCAAATGATATAGGTTCAATCCCCATTTCTTCCATTCGAGCTAATTGTTCCGAGTAGAAATATTCTAATTCATACATTGACAACAGACCATCACCATCTAGATCCATACACCGAAACCAATATTCAATACTGAAAAAACGATATATGAAAGGTTAACAGATCAAGTTATTGTTTGTTAGCCAATTACGAGGAAATTCTAATAGTTACCTTCTTTTTGAAATATGTTCAGATGATATTGTCTAGAAAGACAATTAAAGCTTTATGACACAATCAATGAGCTCAAAGAACACAGCACTTCTAAAAAAGTACAAAGACAAATGTTCTGAGACATCCCGCTAAGTTAGCACTAAATATTTTTTAGAACGTGAAACAAATTCAAACCGGACATTTTGAAAACTCCATCATATATATATAAGCTTCCAAGAAGCCCAAAATCCTACTGGTATGCTTTTTTCCTCTTTATGGGATAATTTTGAAAATAAAATTTCTTTCAGATCCACTGCTTTCATTTGAACTTGAAAAGTGGAAGACTGTAGAAGTTATTTCTAACAATAATAATTTATCTATAATATCAAGAAAGCAATCAACTTGTTTTATAAAACGTTAACTGGAAAAATATTTGATGTATAGTTAGGCATAGTATAAATGATTACCTCCGAGGATGATGTTTATCTTCTTCAGCCAATAGAAACCAAACAAAATCTGGATAAGTCATAACACCTTCTTTAAAAGCTGTTCCTCTGAAAAAAAGAATACGATCGTATAAAGAAACATTTTATTGAAAATACAGTTAAATTCTAGTATTATAAATTATATTGAGAAAAATCATACATATATTGTTTTAATAAATGAAAAGCACATAATTTGATAATGGTAAAATATCAGTTAAATAAATGGAACAGTAGCTTGTTTACTGCATTGAAACTCTTATTAACTAAACCATGTAATCTGAATCGAATTTTGATTAATATGTTATCGACTATCGGAAAGTGCTTCTACCCTTTATATATCTTAAATGAATGAAATATTGATGTGGAAGGATTTATGTGAAAATGCATCTAAAGACAAATAGATTTAAGACATAATACAAAGTCTAAAAATCATGGGATTAAATAAGCGAGTTTATTTTGATATTCCATGAGCTATTATTGAAACATTTTATTCTGAAATAATGTAAAATATTTGAAGCTTAAATGGATAACTTTGGTGTTATTGAGTCCTATTATTATTATTATTATTATTATAATTTAAACACATAAACATTGGTACAAGAAGGCAGCAAATAGATATGCGCCGCACAAATCATTCAATTTGTGTGAGGACTGAGATACTGCCCGGGTGCCCAGACTGAAGCAGGTGGTTTTCTTAGTGGGTTACACCCGAACTATTCGACCTGATGGTCTAATCCACAAGCCAGTGGAGCAACGTCAGAAGATGTAGTCCCATAGTAGCCGGTCACCAACTATAGGTTCATACGCCATTTGTTCCCTCAGGATTCTGGAGCTCATGTGTACCATTGGTTTGGAATCAGGGTTTTCCAACTCCCCTAGATGAATTCTCCGTATCCACCAACCCGGTTAAAGCGCCGGATATTCGCTTTTCGTCCTCTCGATTTCGTAACCATCACCACCGCGAGAAGGCAGTGTGTAGGACTTTCCTGACAGTGGTTGTGTGCATGTGGTCATGTGAGAACATTTCGAGAGGTAAAGCTGACTCCTCCCCACCGTCGCCCGTATGAGGGCATTTGGGGGCTTTCATCTAGATGATTTAACTGTGGAGCATTCATTGTCATTTCGGACAACACCCAAAACGTTTCATAATTATTTCACAAGTATCAAATTAATTCCTTTTATTCACCTTGTTTAAGATTGATTATCTTCACAGATATTGTGATTTTCATTTGTCTTCTTGTAGATTTTGTTTTATTGTAAACTGCATTGATTTTCATCAAGGACAACTATCACGCATATCCGTAGCAATTCAAACAACAAATCAAGTTTTTTTATTACTTTTGTATATTACATGCATTTTTGTTTCACTATGCACAACACAGTACAAGTGAAGAACTGAACAAATATTACAACAATGTCTGTTGGTTTAATTCCATTAATTCTCGTTAGAAGACACTAATACATATGGAATGCTTAAAAAATTAAAGTATTTGTGACTAACTGTTAAGTCAAGAATTAGTATGTTGGGACCGTTAGTGGGGAAAGAAGAAATTAAAACAAGCCAAATGACATCAAAAAAGGGAAGGGCCAATAAACCCTACTTTTCCAATCAAAATAACAAAAAACAGACATATATATATATATATATATATATATATATATATATATATATATATAGGGAGAGAGAGAGAGAGAAGTAGAGGGCGCGGAACACGTACAAATACTTTCACACAAGAAGGTAGACGTATAAAAGGAAAAAAATTGTACAATTTTTAAGTTATAAAAATACGTTACATATTTCTGACTGGATCAATAAATGAATTTTACCATAAAGATGATTATAATAAATGAAAAAGCATAAATCGATTCGTTAGTTTGACTTTACATCAGCCTATAGTCAAATCAATAAATGAATTTACTGAATGAATAATCCCGTATGTATGATAAAAAGGATATCCATGACTAATTGAAGCTGTGTTAGTAAAGTTAGAAAAAACGTTTAAGATATTTGAACATTATTGGGTCAATTTTTTTACTAATATCATTTCAGTATTTTATTAGAAAATAAATTGAAACATTATAACAGGATTAGGTTTGATGAAATTAACAACTTTCAGTTCGAATCATTTAGTGAGATGTACACTTCTTCTTGAGAAAAGTACTCAATATGTAACAGAAATCACTGGTTGGGACTCTTGCATGAATTTCTAAATCTCTCAAGATTTACTACTTTCGTGTTTTTTTTTTAAATGTAACAGTTTGAACACATTCAATACTTGAAGTTCATTTATTTGATTATACATGGAATATTATCACAATGGAGGTTTGTGGAGATTGTAGCAATTTAATAGTTGAATTCATGAGTCGATTAAAGCTACACCACCACTGATAACCTAGAAGCACTAGACAGCCGTTTCGTCCCAGTGTGGGACTCCTCAGAAGCGTGCATCCACGATCCCGCAAGAGAGACTCGAACCCATGACCTTCTGTCTCGAGCGAGAACGCTTAACCTCTAGACCACTGATAAGGTATCCAGCGGTGTTAATGTCTAAATTCAACCAATATACGATATTGCGCCACCGTTCACCTTTGTCTTCAGTGAGTAACTGCCTCACAACAGACACAGTTAAACTCCGATGGTCACAGCTCCTCACTAAAACGCCAGGAAATACCTCTTGAAACCAGTCACTAGTGAGCACATGACGATCGTGAATGTGCACTGGTGAAGAGTCTCATACTAAGACGAAACGGCCGTCCAGTGCCTCCAGGTTTTCCATGGTGGTCTAGCTTTAATCGAATCATGGATGCAACCATACATGGAATAGTCACGGATACACCGAGTCAAGTAATAGGATTTGGATAAAAATAGTCGTTCAATTCGTTCCTTAGTTTTCGATAAGTTCGCAGTTCATGATGAAAAACTCGTCAAATCGGAAAAATGACAAACATCTGGTCACAAACGATGTTTTAATAAAATAACTCATAAAAGTCTAGTAAAACACCGTGATCAGCATACATCGATCATCATAGAACTAAGTGATTGATATGATACCACTGCAAATTAACTCCATTAAAAAAAGTGAATTCTAAAAACCCATTTTCCTTTAGAAAAAATTTACATTGGCATCTCAATAACTATCTATTTTTACTCATTTTCACCAATACGTACACACAGACAAACAGATATAACTAAAGTACAAAAAAGACGGATATTCTCTAAATCAATGTCGTCTACTAAATCGAAATAATCCTAGAAGTGAAAAAGGAAACTTGCAATTTATATCTGAAATTTACTTCGATTAATATCAATTATTGATACAAAGTAATGTAATCCCGATTGGATATGCAATGGGAAAACAATATATATATATACCAGTATTTAATGGATGAGTGACATCACATGACTCACACTTCAGTACAATATATATATATATAAATATATATATATATATATATATATATATATATATATATACCTTATTGCTAAATTTAGAAAATGAAAATTCTTTCATGTAATAATTATACTGAATAATAACTAAAAAGTGGAATTTTTCAACAGAGGAAGAAAGAAATAAACTATGGGATAAAAATACATATGTGTATAGGAGTAGGGAATACAGATATTAGGCTATGGTATTGTAATTTAGTATGTAACCCCCATTCGGTTTTGATCAGATTACTCCTACTCATCAGAATATGACAAGAACAAGCAGATGAACTGACAAATGCAAGTTACTACTATTTACGTAGAATAATAGTAATAATAGTAATAATAATAATAATAATAATAATAATAATAATAATAATAATAATAATAAACGCATTCGAAATAATTTATTTTCCCTTTCAAAATATCTCACCTTGTTACAGCTCCACTAAATATTCGGTCTATCATACGCTCTGAGATAGCTGTAAAAATATGTATATATAAATACATTGAAAGGTAACAAGTAAAAATGCCTAAACATGGAAATAAACAAAGTAGAAACGTACCCAAATAAAATAGTCATTTGTTTAAAAAAGAAAGAAAATAAACCAGATATATAACCATTTCTATGCGTTTAGATCTTATTTCAACAACTTGATCAGTATTCGGATTTCTAGAGCCAATTGGAATTCAAAAGATTCATTGAAAAATAGGTAACACATATAATATTGATTAAGATTGATGTTACATGACTTCCAGCTGGGAATCATATTCTTTCTGAGGTATACACAAGCTAGCGGAACCGTGGCTCAGTGGATTTTGGTGTTCGATTTACAGCCACTAAGTCATAAATTCGAACGGCAACGCAGCTATTTCGGTTTAGTCATTAACCCTGAAACATGAAATGTGGTGGCTCATAATCAATTACCTGGTGAATTAATTAATCTACCATGACTTAGCATAAGTAAATCGAGTGTATTGAAAATCATACCTTTATAATTTAAGTTATTGATATTTTAATAAAGAAGAACGATAATCACATACCAAATTATTATCACCGAAAAATATCTAAACAAATTATCGGAAATTAAACGAGTTGAAATTAAAAGTATAACACTAGAAGAGAGAGATATCCATGAACATTACTACGCTTTAACAGATTATTATTAGTATCATTATTATTATTAGTGGAACGGTACAAGACCGATAAAAGTACACAGGTTAATTGTTAAATTACCATTATACATATGGTACAGTTGGATTTAAATCATACAGTTTAACGTGAAGGCTATTCATAGTATTTAATGGATGAGTGACATCACATGACTCACACTTCAGTACAATATACACATTTCTAGACTAAGATATTAAATTAGAAGGATCGAACAGTTTCATTATTACTAGTTCCATATTGTAAAATATCTTCTGCTTCTTAACCAATACAATTTGATCTTGACTGAATTTTTTTAATTGGATACACTTGTAAATGTCTGTCATGTGGTATGAGGAAAAGAAATAGACAAAACTATAAGCCTGAAAATCTTTAAATACTGAGGTGATGAAGCTTTAACTTGAAATAGATGATAAGCACTAATTGAACATGTGTTGAGACTTCACATCGTTCATTCAATCTATACAAGTGGGTAGTATTGTTAGTTAATACATTACCATCGCTGTTCAGAACCTCTATTCTACACAAATTTACATACTATGTCTTAAACCAGATAAATTCTTACTAAAAATGTTCATGAGTACACAAAGGAAAATAGAGTTAAGTAAATATACGTAACGACTAAGCATTGGCTTTAGGTAGCACAGGTGTTTTTTCATCAAAGCGAGGGGACAAAAAGCGAATGTCCAACACATAAACCAGGTTCGTGAATGCTGAGGCTTCACCTAGGGGAGTTCGAAAACACTAGTTCCAAACGAATGGAGTACAAACCTATTCTGACCATCAGGTACCATGAGATGATTTTTCCCGATGTTCTTCTACTTCCTTGTGGACTAGATCATCAGGTAAAAATCTTGAACAGAGATTTCATTAGGAAACCACTTGGTTTGATTTGGGAGACCCGGCAATATCTTAACTCACACACAAAAATGTTAAAGAATAAAAATGAATTATATTTTATTCGCTCCACCAAGTTACCTATTCAAACGACACTCAGCAGCTAAATTAAGGTAAAAATCAAAAAATTTAATTAAGAAAAAATATAATACGTAACAAACAACATGGTGTAAACTTACCATAATTATTGTGTCGTGCTAAATCACTTCGACTGATGATCAAATCATGATCTTCGTCTAGCTCCCAGAATTTACAATAAATAACATAGAAATGTTCATAAGAAAAATATTGTGTCACCAAATTAATATCATCTTCATTTTCAAGACTGGCTAATACAGGAAGAAAATTACTTCGTCTTAATTCACCTAAAGAAATACGACCAGACCATGAAATATTCACATTGAAGAAGATACGTGCTACAACAGTTGCCACATAACGGGAATGAAAATCTTTCGCTGCTTCTAAAAACGCTAAACCAGGATGACTCTCTAAAATGTCCTGAATGAAAAAAGGAAAATTAAATAATCAACAAAGCTATGGTAAATAAGGTTATATGAACCAAGGACAAGTTCAAATTTCATCATTTACTTTATTTCCATGTTCGTTAACTCAGACCAGCAAATTATAATCTAACTCAGATTTAAACATACATTTTTATGAATTTGAGGGAGTAATGCATTGTCCTACACTATAATAACACTGAAAATTTGATAAATATCCTAACATTAGAGTATCACACTGTTAAGAACACATTAAAAGTGAATGCCTTTACATCACTGAGAGAATTTCATCATAATAACCGTTACATATAATTCCCTCTAGATCTCCTGCAACACTTTATCTAAGAAAGTCGACTAAACTTCAATTTTGAAATAATCTAATGAATTTTTCTAGGGTGTAATTTTAATAAAAATCAGATAAATTAAAAATACACTGGATATCGATAGATTAACACAGGAACGTACGGATTATTCATCGCATAAAACGCAATAATCCAGATTGTTCCAATTCAGATGTGCAAGACAACTCAATGAGTGAAAAAATAATATACATCACAATAGCACGATACATAATTTTTGTTTATTATTATGGTGAGCACCATGACTTCTTAAATGCTAAGACTGAAATTCTTGAAATTACTGTGATCTCGCAACTAGTATGCTACTAAGTTACAATGTAATCTTATAACGAATTTCAATCTCCAGTCTTTCCAAATGTAAAATAAATCTAACAATACGCACCTTTGGATACTGATTGACTACTGAATAGTGATCGGTTGTCATACTTGTCTAATTATTGGTGCTAGTTGAATCTTATCTATCAAGTAGTAATATGGCCACCAGTCTAGATGGCTTGATATTCTATGCACTATGTTTTGATACAAAGTGATTATAAAAGTAATTAGCAAGAAAACCCCTACCTCCGAAAGACAAAAAAGAACATATCTATCGTTTGCTCTTACTTGTATGAGTGTATTAAAATCAGATTGTACTAAAAAGGTTGCTCGTCCACGTGTAAGTAGATGAATAAATTTCGAAGCTTCATCTGGACAAGTATTCAGTGTACTGAAATGAAAAACAACACAATAGCACGGTATGATAAATCAAATTAGTAAAGGTCAATCGATAAATGATGTACTGTTGGTAAGCTTTAGAAATATATGTACTAGTTTTCTCAAATTCGACAAAAAATAGCAACCATGAGGGAGTGACTTTTATTTATTTATTATTTATTTTAACACATAAGTATAGGTACAGGGAGGCACCAAAATACATATGCGCCACACAAATCTCAATTGATTTGTGTGAGGGCTGTGATACTGCCCGGGTGCCCAAACCGAAGCAGGTGGTTGTCTTAGGGGGCAACACCCCGAGCCTTTGACCTGAACGTCTGACCCACAAGGCAGTGGAGCATCGTGAGGAGATTCAGTCCCATGGTAGCCGGTGACCAACGATTGGTTCATACGCCATTTGTTCCCTTAGGATACTGGAGCCCATGTGCACCATTGGTTTGGGGTCCGGTTAAAGCGCCAGACATTCGCTTTTCGTCCTCTCATTTTTGTAAACAACACCCCCGCCACGAGAAGGCAGTGAGTAGGACTTCCCTGGCAGGGGCTATGTACGCATGGCCATGTGAGAGCATTTCGAGAGGGAGAGCGGACTCTCCCCACTCTCGGCCGTACCAGGGCATTTGGGGGCGAGGGGGTGACTAAATTCTACACAATGTCATGTCACATGAAATTTACAGAGAATTCATTTCACTTATCATTAATAATGATGATTTATATAAAAGGTGATATGTTCATTGAAATAAATGCTTTGTTTTAAGGGCTTTCACTATCGTACTGGACAGTTTCATCAGCCACAGAAAGATAAAAATTTAAATTATCTCAAAGAATACAATACCGTAATATTGTCTTGATTTCTATGTCCTAATAATTCTCAAATATAACCCCTTCCAAATATCTCATAGATTGAAACCCATTTTATTCCCAATAAACAGGTGACCTGGATTTTTCAAAGCTTAGAGAACTTATTATTTAAGATGACTGTTTATTATGAATATAACTCATTTGTCATTTACACATAGGTTTACACACTCAGCTTCGAGCTACACTTAACTATTTGAGTTAATAATTCTACATAGTTGATCAATCTAACAGTTAAAGGCTAAGTGTTATAAAACCACTAACTCACCACTTGAAGACAGAAAGTTATATGTTTTTCTAATCCGAAACTAGTTTAGATCACATCCAATAACACACAGGTGTAATGTTATTATTTAGGTCGAAAAGTCGATCCCTATTCATATATCCAATTTTATTAAACCCGTGATATAAATATATTATTTGACAAACATGATTGACAAGTATTGATTTCTCATTAACTAAATCATCAATCTCTGATACAACTTGATAATGAGAGGGATTAACTTGAAAATTGAATATAAACTAGTTCTTATGTTTTTACATAGTTCCAGCTAATCGTAAACTTAAATGTTGAGCTTTGGGCTCATAAGTTACATCACAAACGATTACCCGGCTAGCAACCACTACATATAAACATATTTTTAATATAAGGTGAAACAGCAAAATACTAAAATGCTCACCATATTTTGATGAGATTAATAGTTTAAGGAAATTCGTTGTGAAAAATTCAATTTGAAATTATAAAGTACAAATAACAAAATAGCAATTATTTATACAAACATTATTTACACAAACAGACTCATCCTCAACGTTCGCATACAGCACAAAGTCGATTAGTTCCCCTCTAAAACCAAACTGACGATCTCACTATATTGAAATATAGAGCCAACTGAACAACACTACCAACCAAATTAACTGTGTTCTTTTAAAACAAGTTGATAAGGAAATTTCAATTGCGACTATTCACTATTCTTAATCAGATCACCATTAAAAACCAGGAACCGTTGAACAGCTATTTCGTCCTAAAGTACAACTCCTCTGCTGTGCACATCCACGACCCATCGGGAATCAAACCCAGAACCTTTGGTAGCCTAGCTAAGATTATTTCGTGATATAAACTATGAAAATTCTACAATCCTTTACTCTATACTGATATTTAACTACGTCAACATGTATTGAAAAGCATAAATGACACTAAATAAACTATCTCAAACACGTGCACATGACGTAGGTTACAATAATAATAACATAGAAACATTTATAAAATCAAGATAAATTGATGTAAACAAACCAAGAAATTCAATGTAAATGAGTGTGTTCAAATGCGTATTTTGTTTGAGTGTTGAATATTGACTTCAAGAATGTAATGTTGTTTTTTTAAATATGTAACAAATAATAATTTCTTATCTCTCAAAAAACAAAAATGTATTAATAAGATTAAGAGAAATGTCGTTTTTCACCCTCCAAATAAAAAATCCTTTAACTTACTGAGACCATGATTTCAATAAGTTTGACAAGGTGACTGGTTGTCGATCTGATGTACCACCAGCATTCATATAAATTGCATGTTTCCAATAAAGTGGACAGTTAAGTACCTAGAAATATCAGGAACAAGTTATGGATGTTTGTGATGATAAATGATATCAAATAAGAATTATAGAATTCAAATATATAAACAGATATAGAAGCGCTTGATTACCGATTAACAGTTGACATTATACTGTATTCCCTTGTAAAAGAAAAAAATATAGATTGTACAAGAGCGGTTAATTGTTTTACTGACAAAGTATGATAACAATGTAACTAGTTTACTAAGTATATGTTTATGTCTACCCATTGATCATGATTATTACATGGGACCACACCAGCTAGTCTACATTTACTGAAAAGCACCAACGCAACAGTTAATTATTTCATGAATTGATGCAATGTCTCAATTTGACCCCCCCCCAACCGATTCTAATACCAGACAGTTTTCCTGTTTGGGTAGATGATGGATAGATATGCACAGAACATATCCCGCCAACCACGAGCGATAAAGATTCAGTTTCATCAACTGGTTTATTGTAATTTCCTAGTGTTCTACTTTTAAATTCAACATTCCTCAAAACAGTTTCATCGTATGCCCCTAAATGCCCTGGTACAACCGAGAGTAGGGAGAGTCGGCCCTCTCTGTCGAAATGTCCTTACATGACCACGTGCAAACACCCACTGCCATGGAAGTCCTACACACTGCCTTCTCGCGGTTGGGCTGTTGGTTACGAAATCGAAAGGACGAAAAGCGAATGTTCGGCGCTTAAACCGAGTTGGTGGATACGGAGAACCTACCTAGGGGAGTTAGAAAACCCTGATTCCAAACCAATGGTGCACATGGGCTCAAGAATCCCGAGAGAACAAATGGTGTATGAACCAATCGTGGGTCAACGGCTACCATCAGACTGCATCTTCTGACGTTTGTGAAAATCGCTGAATTTTAATGGTTTACGTTACGGATTGATTTTAATACAATAACCATTAGGAACTAGGGAGCACTGGAGAGCGATTTTGTTCTATTATAAGACTACTTATTAATGAGCATCCAAGACCTGTCAAAACAGAGGATCGAACCCCGAATCAGTCACGGAGAGTGTGTATGAATACAAATAATGAGTCTTATACTGGGACGACGCAACTGTGCAATGCTTCCTGCTTTACAATCGTTGACTAGTTAAGATCAGTCCGTGGTGTAAACCGTGAAAAAACAACCTATCAATCACCGTTGTAAAAGTTGCGTTTCAATTAAAATAACAATTATTTAGTCGATAGCAAAAAGCTTTTGAACATGAAGCTAATAAACAAATTCCTTAATTTTAAAGTGATATTAGTTAAACAGGATTCTATGGAAAACTCAATGTGTAAAATTAGTGATAAAAAAGAAGAGAAAAATGCATTTATACATGAAATCGAAACTTTATTTTTAGGAAACCATTCGTACCTTTGCAACTTGTCCAAAACATGAATGAGAAATTAACGGATCAGAATATTTCCCGGAATTTAGTGATGAATCAATAAATTGGTTAAGTTCTTGTTTAACACGTTCTAATTCTGTGTTAATTTCCTCGCTGGACATTCGAGTAGTCCCAAGTGGGAAATGAAATGCTGGCAATGCTTTATGTATTCGAGTTGGAGAAGAAAGAATGGCAAATCCTTGGTTTTGAACACATGAAGTAGAATCCATAGACGATGAATATGTAGAATCTGTATGATTAGGTACATTTGCCTTACTTATTAAAGATCTGACATCTTCAAGAACACCATCAGAATTAACAAGACTATTCGATTGTGAGGAATGAATACGATGATGTTTATTAACTTCATGATGATTATCATGAGATTGTTGATTTGCGACCACATCAACATCTGGCTTATTACTTTCAGCAGGACAATTATATGCTGATGGTGTTGAAACAACGGTAGGAGTGTGTTGTTTTGATCCATTTCGATCATTTGTTCGTAGAGTTGTTTTATTTGTTCTAATTTTGCTTATATCATCAGTGTCTGCATCATGATTTAAAAGTTTATTCGTAGCAGTGGTATTAGTAGTCTGGGATGAATGTTTTGTTTCATTATCTACACTTAGTTGATTCTCAGAGTTTGGTGTAACTTTTGGACAAATAGTTATTACTCCATTCTCCTGTTTGGATTTGTTTTCATACGTTATATCATTTGCGGTATGTGGTTGTTCAACAGAGCTCTAGAAAATGAAACAATAGAATAAAATAAACTAGTGTCTGAAAAGAACTGGCATGTTATGACAATTTCTCACAGATAAAATGATTTTCAACACTTCCTACAATGTAAACTTGGGAAGTGAAACACTGAATCAAAGCATACACAGGTCCGCGTATTCAATAGTTTAAAAGTGAGCAACATTCCACCGAAATTACTATAATCTTAACAAACTATCAAGTTCCCAATCAATAAGCTAAAAACCAATCAGACTAATATGACATTTTATTCTCTAATTAATTTATTAAAACTACAGTTTTTTTAGAGATACTAGTCATAAGCGTTTATTTCAGAAAATAGTAAAATCACTATTCTTAAAGAATACAAGTATAAGAACTTGTAATTTATTAACGTCACTTAAAGCGAACAGTGAATTTGAAAAAGGGGGAGTAAACGAAAGTCAAATACACTGATCATTGAATTTTAAGTAAAAATGACATAATAACATGTTATTCAACAGTAGACGAGATGGAAATTGTGTTTTGTGGGAAAGTGTTTAGTTTCGCAAAACAATCCAAGTGTGTAATATTAAATGCACTAATCTCATAAACTGAATTAATAACGTAAAAACTGACATGAATGTATAATATTTTAAAATAATCTATACTTATCGTCCCCACACAGAAATGAAGAATTAAGAGGGAGAAAATTGGATTAAGCTACTATTACTACTATAGTAAGAGGAAATAACTGTCCAGTGATTCTTGATTTTCAAAAGTTATCTTACCGCAGTCCGTGATATAAACCATAGAATTCAACAATCTTCAAAAACCTAAATTAATAAAATCATAGTGTTGACAGCATCATCCTGTCGAAAATAATAAAAAGGCATCAGAAGGAACAAATGTAATTCAAGATTTAAAGGAATAAAAAAGATGAACACACAACCATGGACTACTACTGCAAACCTCGCTTGGTTTACATAACTTCGACTAAACAGCAAAGATGTTTGGTGAGCCCAGAAAGATAGTGTTCACCTCCCTAGATGAATCACTATTTAAGACACTAAACTTTTAGCAACTAAGTAGTAGATTCGAACTATACACCTACGATCAAGGACTGAATTCCGCAACTGTAGGATAAAAATCGGTGGAATCCTGCTCCTTATGTTAAAGTTCTAGTACCACTTCTCTATATAAGGCGTGCATTTGTAAAATTGAGGCAAGTCATAGTTGTCCCCATTCGAGATTTCAGCAACTACTATGTAACCACAGCGAGTAACGCTTGTGGTGTCAATTATTATGTTAAGCCCATATACCTTATTATAGCTCTCGGACAGGCCAATCTATTCATTCTATTTGAGTGGCATTGTGACCTTGTTAATTATTCGCTTGACTGTTGTTATATGAGCGTGTATGTGTACACTTCTTATCTCATTCATCACATATCTGTAGCCTAATTTCGTGTGACTATAAATATTGATTAACGCTTGACTAAATGGAGTTGGCTCACGAGCCTTCTCCAATGCGCGTTATTTCTCTTTGCTCTCCTCTCTTCGCTTCTCCGATATTTTTGTCTGGATCAAAGACTGTATGAAATATACGAGGATAGAAGACATATATACTTCAACAGCAATAATTCAATAACGAACATTCATACGATCTAATTAGAGTCAGATCCCGGCCACTAAGCGCTCATAAATTATTAGGTGTAGTATAGGCCTTACATCACTTCACTCCTGATTGAAGAACTAGGTCATTGTTAAATCATGAAAACATGCTCTAATGAAGAGTACTAACACGCAGAAGACAATGATTCATATAAAATTACTGTCGGTTAAGGAATAACAGTATCGTCAACTTCTATCGCTTGTCTGATAAGCATGAAATTAAGTGAAGACAAAAAGTAAGAAAAAATTCACTTTTGTAAATTAATTAAATTGCATATAGTAGATTAAAGAAAATATTTAAAACATGAAGTGAGGTAGTAGTAATCAGTCATCCACTCTCTATCTTACTACTATACACAAAACCAATCGATAAATGTAAGGTTAATGAATAGAAAAGAATTTACTAACAATATCCAGCTGCGTTTTATGTATATTTTTTCTGTGCATTCATGTATTTATGTGTGGTGACAATGATATATTTCTGAAATGAATGTGTGCTACAACTATGACATAGCAACTTTCAGATTGATTAAAAGATTATTATTATTATTATTATTATTATTATTATTATTATTACTAATCAGTTCACATAAAATAACTTTAACAATGGAAGAGTGGTGAAATATTAAGACATAAGGCACCCACGAATATAATTTAGCTTAGGGAGAGACCAGGTTTCATAAAAGCAGGAAAAACCCCTTGCGTTGTGAAGCTGTACGTTCGACTTCCTGTGACCAGACTAGAGTCGCGACGATTCTTAAAAGCTTTATAAAACCTTGTATTTACAGTTACTAAAACAAAACTGCTATATTACAGCTAAATATCTTATTTGGAAATAACACGACCAAAACATTAGTTCAAGTTTACTCTCAACTTGTACAAGCTATCTGATTACTTAAGCTGCTCTAATGGAGATAACAGTTTAAACTACGTTATCAACAAAACTTAACAAGATGAAGATATGCTAACATACATGAAAGTCTGAACTCTTTATTTTTCGAAATGACACATCACAGAAGAAATAAGATATTGGTATAAAAATTTTTTTGGAAAAAATACAAGAAATTCACCTAAATATATCACCTATACAGTAGTAGCCAGACCTCGAACACGTAAAATATAGAACTAACTTGGCGAATGTTTTTTAGTATTTTGAAATATATAATGTGTAAACTAAAAAAAATAAAGTTATAAATGTCAAAAATAAAGTGCAATAAACAAACGTACAAAAATTTCTCTGTAGAACACATAAACAATAATTCAACAACAACAAAATTTGTTACACGTATTTTACGGAATACAAAATCGAATTCTTTAAGCCAAGTATAGGCGTATCTATTTAATTAAGATTTACTATCGCCGCAAACAGTATAATTACTTTAGATCATTAAAGTGTTTCTTTCGTTAAAGTTATCATCATATTAATCCTTTGAAGTCAACCTAACAATTTATTCGTAAATAAGTAAAATGCTTTAAGTTTTCTTTTTTTTGACGCTTTCTGTAGATTACTCTAGATATTGAACGTTAAAAACAAGACAAAATGTTGATCAGAAGATTTTAATTAACCTAGATGATCAGGAAACGTAATCATGAATTTTTTAAATATCTATATGATAACACTTAAGCTTCTGCCAAAATAATTCGGTTATGATTAATATTTTTTTATGAAGATTAGTGACTAGTTTTACTCGTCAATTTTGTGTCTCAGAACGTTCATATGCAATGTGTAAGTATATAGTTGTTTAGATAAACGCTATCCATCGATTTCACGTTTAAGCAATTCATATTTTCAATGACATAGTCACACAATCAGCAACTTTATTTTGAGGAAGAGAAACTAGTCAAAAGACAAGGCAAGGTAAAGACTAAAACTATAACTTATCAGTTAATAAAAAGAAAACAAGATGAAACGACAGAAAAGCTTCGAATTAAACACAAACTGCATTAATTTTTTTCCTTGAAAGTTTATACCGATAGTAAATTATGACGATTACCAACGCTTGAATCTATCCTATTCAGTTTGTACACATGAAGTCTATTAAATCTTTCATAAGTAGTAAAATCTTTCCGATTATGCTATAATTCCGTGAAAGTAGAATCAAAACATGATAGGATACATGTAAACCGCATACAAATTAGTTTAAATGAGATAACGTAATTTTCCCGATCAAATTATTATACCTGAACCCAGTTTATTTGTGTTTTTTATAACAAACTAACAATGTTATTTGGTTTGATAACAAGCAAATAATACAATTTGCTTAAGATACCATTGAAAAAAGACGTGTTTCCATTCATTCAAATCATCCTCATACTTCGTAAACGACATGAATGGAATTCACAAAAAGAAGTACTGAAAACTAACCAACTAGTGATATTAACAGTAGCAGATAATTGAAAGGTAATAATGATCAGGTAAATAATTGTAGAAGCATAGGCTAAATAATGTACCATTCAATTAGAGCAACTGAAGCTAGTGTAGACATATTACATCAGTAAAAGTTTAAAGTTATTGAGTTTGTAATATTTAATCAAGAAACAGTATTTCACAAAAATTAAATTAACAATCGACACCTTCATAAACCTGACAATCACCGCTACTTTTTTTTTAAATTTTGTTCCACATTAGCCATCTTAAAAGATAGACAGAAATCAAGACAGACCGTAGCACAGATGTGATTTATGTTAAGTTACTACACTAGATTAGTACGACCAGATACAAAACACAAAAGAGATCGTAGTAGCAGTGATGATGCGAAAGACTGAACATTGAGAATATGATAGGAATGAAGAGGTATGCGTATGAAGGAATATTAAAATCCAAGATCTAGAGAAAGGCAAAAAAAGAATGCACCTGTGTGTTTGTGACCTATTCGGATCCATGTCAGATTCTTCAAACACCGATCGCGGTTATAGGATGGCCTCCCAACAGGTAGTCCATATCTGCCAGTATGGTTCACACCAAGTCAGTGACTTCATGGAATAATCCCATGTTTTAATTTGGCTGGCACTAGCTACCTCACAACCTAAGCTAACTAACATCTCTCGTCGAGGTAAGTGGTGTTTAGGCATATGTAACACATGTTCTTACCACTTTAGTCGATTAATATCCAATACCTCATCAACCCACTTGTCGCTTTTCGCAAGTACCCAATGCTTAGCCTCAACATTGCTCACTCAGTCATTCTATGAGACGCGAGCAATGCCGCAAAGACATCTGTGATCAAAAACCTTCATTTTACTCAAGTCATTTACTTTTAAAGGCCACTAACGGTGGTAAACAGCTGAACAGGATACTATAAAAGCCTACATCATATTAAACGTAAATAAACAAACTTAGTTACCTCCTTTACATA